GCGCAGACTTTCAGGGCACACAGCAGTTACAGTGCAGGAAAAGCTACTTGACCTGTATCAAAAGAACAGATACCCTGGGTAACAAACCAGCCACTCCTCTTGTACAGTACATCTGCTCTGGACCCCGCAGCCTGGGCATTACAGAATATTTACAGTTGACTGAACCACACTTCAACCAAAGAAATTTAGATGATGGAAAAGGGTAAATGATGAGGAAAAAACACAACTGTCTAAATTTCTTAATCATGCTTCTAAAACCATAGAACCTGCAAATTCACACAATTCTTATGATAATCTGAAAACTTCATTATTCCCAAGATGTTAGCTATCACACTTCAAAACGCTGGTCTGTACCAGACATGTCATAGCCGTTTGTCAAAATGTTTGCCCACAGCCTGCTTATTTTGAGACCATCAATCATATTTTATCGGAGCCTCACTTTACTTTAGGACATCGCGAGATAAAATCTATTCACCTGAAGCTTTTGCTATAAGCCTTTGGCATATCTCACATAAACCGTCTGCTCAATTTATTTTCAAAGGAAAGATTAATTCAAAGCAAAGCTATTATTTCTCATTTGCTGGCCATATGAGCCAAAAATACTTCAGAGAAATAGTGGGGAAAAAAAAACAGTAAAAAGAAGCACATTTATTGTTCAATTCATATAGTTATTTGTTAGTCAGTCCTTCAATTAATCAATCAAGTTAGCAGCTATCTGACACTATCTTTTCATAGCTGAAATGACTGAGCTCCAGCAGCACATAATGTACAAAAGGATGAAAGTTATATAGTGACATACAGCGATGTATAGTTGTACACAATTAACTTTCATTTGTTACTCCAGATATAAAATAATGCTGTTTCAATTCATAACATGCCACTAAATGTTACCCTAAAGCAGGCATCTCTAACTCTGCCAATGAGCCCCAACATAGAATGTTTAATAAGACATCAATTTCTAAAATTTGGAAAAACTTTTAAATTGGAAGTGATCTTTTCAATTTAGAAATGATATGGATCAGAATATGACAGCTATTCTGATGATCAAAGTTATCTTAATTGAGCTCATTACAATTGATCAATATCTCACGAATGATCCTAATTTTAGATAAAGGGTGACATAAGGCCTGCTGGACTGCGGACGTTCCAAGACCTCACACACTGCAATATATATTTGTTGTACTGTATGTTTACAGAGTTACTACATTCCTGTAAATAGGATTAGATTCAACTCTAAAAGGCTAAGAGCCTTGAGAATAAAAATGTCAACAGAAACATTAGATGTCTGTTAACTCTTATCAAATAAAAAAAATAATCTAAACTCTCAAAGGCCTTTAACATTGAAGAAAGAATTACAGATTTGTATTGTGTATGTTCATATTTAGAGAAAGCATGGATTTACCTGGTACAAATTAATTTCAAACCTCACAGGATACCATGAAACAACACCATAAATGTAAAGTGCCATCTACACACATCAATTTGTAAGGCAAATAGTTCATTAATACCAATTAATATAATATTTAGAGGGGATATTTTGACCCACTTTAGCTTTAGAAATAAATCACTAAAAAATGTTCAAGAAAAGTACATTAAATACAGGGCCGACTTTCCCAAGTCTGTTGAAATTAATATCCAAGACACAGTTTTTCCAAGTGCAGCTTAAAATTTACAAAACGTTCTATGAATAACTCTGGTATTTTGACTCCTACATTATACAGTGTCATTTTACACTGCAATAAAATATCACATGACTGTCATTACACACTGCCCAAAAGGTGGTAATATTATACTTGGTAATATAAATGTGTAATTAAAGGTGTAATGTGAATAAAATTTTATGCAAGACTGGAATTAAACAGTAGAAGCAGCCACAGAAACAATTAATAAAACTCTGTCCTTTCTGAATTTCCATTCAGAAATAAACAGAAGTTTCCCTTAATGTAAAACAAAAAACGAACAAACGAAAGCTATTGAAATTAATTGTAAATTAAGTACTGCTGAACTACGAAATAGCAAAAAACATTACTGTAGTTCGCTAACAAATAAACAATTAAGAAACAGTGCCATAACTGAGATATTAAAAAATAATCTTCATTAAAAAATGCCCATATTTTTCCCCAAACATTTATACTAAAGGTATAAAATTTAAAGACCAACAGGAAAAAAAAAAAGATAAATTATCTTTCAAAATTAAAACTTTGGCTTATTTTAACTGACTAGAACACCTGAATCTTTGCCCTTCCTTTGACTTCGATCGCTCACCTGTCTTGCCATTGTACACAGTCCACTGTGTGCTCGGAAGGCCAAAAACACAGGAGCACACAGCCTTCAGCCTCTCTAAACCCAGCTTGTTGTCTCCTTTAGGATTCTCCAGCAGAACGACACCAACTGCAAGTCAAGGGCAAGAATATAAAGGTCAGTTCTGCATTTTTCCAAAACCAAATGCACTCACATAAATTATGTACCAAATTATGCTAAAAATAATGCCTTTTGTGTCCTAAATAAAATGCAAGCTTTGCAGAGCACAGAATATAAATCTTCTAAATGTTAAAAGAACATTTACATGCAGAATTATTTTTAAGTATGTAAGGTGGGGATTTCAAATACTTTAATTTACAGACTTTGCCAGCAGTGGTGGAATGAAAGTGTGTGCACTTGATTTATTCTGCCTAAGAAAAGTGCAAATGTGTTTCAAGCCAAGAAGGGGGCAAGCCTTACCTTGCTCTTTGTTGTCAAGCTTTATTTTTAAGTTGACATAGGCACATGCAGGTCCTGAAAGAGGAATGTGACCAGCTGCAGCTCCCTTCACAATTGTCAGATCCAGATCGGATCCCTTCAGCTAAGAATTCACAAAGAAAGCACATCACCCCACTAGAAACAACCCAAATGCAAACACAATGCCCTTTGTGCCAGGCATCTTGGAATAACTTTGGTATCTCAGAACAATGGGCATCATGAGATGAAGAACACAACAGAGAACAACCAATCTGGGGTACCTGGGTTTTCTCCTGAACAATTACACTTGCATTCTTAGGAACAGGGTAGGCTTTCAAAGGAGCTTTGATGGTTGCTAGTATAAATTCAGTGTGAGCCTGGATAACTTTCTCCAAGTATTCACTGGCAGGCTGGGAGTTGTAGTAAACAACTATGTCATCAGAGGGAACCAGGTGACCCTTTAACAGAAACAAAAACAATTAAGATACAGTTGAACGATTTCACTGAAACATACATTGAATTTCCTCAGGCAGAACTGATTTGTGTGCCTTCCAAATCACAGAGGACTGAACTACATTATTCTACTTCTATAGTGTAACAAGTAAATCCAAATTCATTTTTGCCAATTACAGTTTGAGCAGACCTAACAGTGACACTTCTAACCATACTGATCTGTATTAATGTGTTCAGTGACTAAATAAAAGGCAGAGATGAGAGCAAATAAAATTTTACATAATTTAAATGTGTGCTTTTCTAAGAGAGAACTGAATTATTTAAAAGAACTTGTGAAATATAAGGTATCATCCATTTAAGACACCTAAATGTTTCCCATCCAGAATCATGGATACTGCTACTCTCGCAGTGTTGAGCAGTGGTTAGATGGAAAATTCCTTGATTTTCAATTACAAAGGAATTCATGTTGGCTAGCTGCCAAACTCTCCTCGGGACAAGTGGGGCCCAAATTCTGAACGGAAAATGTTTGTTTATTAAGGGACCAAGTTATTAAAGAAATCCTTATTACAGTTTAAATCCCGGTACACTTGAAGGTCAGAATTAAAATTTCTTGCAATGTAGCTTATGGGATGTTGAACTACAATTGCACAGTCCTTCAATGCATTTCTTATTTGCTGGAGAAGAAACAAGTTGTTTAAAGCTGAATGGAAAGATTTCCAACAAAAACGCAGCCAGAAGCTTGGAAAAATTAATGATCTTAGCTATCTAAACATTAGCAAAGTAGTAACTAGAAGAAAAATGACTTATTGCCTGCACTTTGAAGTCACAAACTTCTGTAAAAGTCTGCAGACTACAGTACGTGACTCTGAAGTCATCCACCTTTTTTCCTGGAAGACAATTAACAAGCAAGGTTACGTGTGAACATTTTCCTTTCCTCTTAAGGAGACAAATTCTACACTGGAAATTCACCTTTTTTAGAATGAACTCCACAGATGTTTTAGTTTAAAGCAGGCAACACTTTTCAGAGCTATGGAAAACAAGGTCCGCAAACCCAACCTTTTTGCGAAGTTTCTGAATGCGATTGATGACTTCCCGGGCCACACCTTCGTCCACCATAGACTGGTCTGGGGTAACATCAAGCAGAACCAAAACCTAGGAGTACAGGCAACCTCTGTTACCTCAAGCAATAAATTCAGATGGGTTTGGCAAAACTGGTCTGAATTACAGCACATGTCAAGAATACTGAATTTATATGTCAAAAAGGAAAGCTAAATAATACATTTCAGTCTAATGAAAGCTGCAACATGAGGATTTGATAACGGTTCATCAAACAAGCACCTTTGATCATGGAAGGGTACCCAAGGTCTACATCTGGGAGTAACCAGTTAAAAATGTAATATATTGTGTGCTCCCCCAACCCCATCCAACTAAGACACCAAGTAACTAAAACTGCATTTATGCGCTGTAATTCAGAGCGGTTTTGTAAGATGCATTGTAGTTTTACGAATGTTCAGTCTTGATCCTAAAAAAGGAAAATTTCATTTAAAAGAATTAGGAAACATTTTTGGGTATGACGTGGACAATGTGTTCTGGAATTAAGAGAAATCTTTCTTTTTTGTTTTTTCATGAATACGGATACTGTATGTATTAAATCCCGTGGCCTTTTCTAAGAAATTTCAATCTCCCTTCACAGTTCATCCCGTCAGAGCTACAGGCTTCTCTCTGACCACTTTCTGTCAATCAAGCCTTCTGATCAGATGCCAGCCATATGGTTGGCAGGGTAAGATCTACCTTCATTTCCTGCTCCAGTGAGTTGAGCTCACTTGCTGGACTGATCATTAATCTGTGCTGATTTCATGACACCTGGTCTTCTCCCTCTGACAGAATTCCAATTTCACACTGAGGTGTTTTTTTTTATTTTTAGGTTTTATTCTATTTTGAATAAAAGGTAATAATGTCTGTTTTTGTCAACTGTAACTGAGAAACTACTCCTTTTGGGAGTTGGAGGAAATGAGAGCCAAATTAACCAAGCTATTAGGACAGCTCAACATGAATGTGGTGGCATCACTTCAGATGCATGGACTGCTAGTTTCCAATGTAGCACACTTCATGCTGAAACAAATTCAAAATCTGAATTCAAGAACAGTCTGCAGCAAAGCACTACAGATTTCCTTCTCAAAACATTTTTCCATAAAACAAAATCTATAATCCACCCCACATGCATGTCTTTTATCCATAAAACATGCATCTAGAAATGCTACATCGTAATAAGCATTATTTTGTTGTGTTTTTCTTTAATGAGCACTTGTGTTATAACTAAATCAGACTTGTGGGCCACAGTTTTAATTCAGGATGTGTTTCATTTGATTTAATTCAGGATACTGCAACTTCCAAGTCTGTACCTGTGCATCTGAATGAGCTTCATACTGCGCATGCATTTCTGAGACCGGGTCAAAGGTGTACATGAGACGCAGGTCCTCCGCATGAAGTTCATGCCCATCCACCACAATAGATCCTGAAACAAGCACAGCGATGAAATCAACCAATCAACTCCCTTTACTCACCAGGTGAAATCACACAGAGCACATGTGTGCATCCTAAAAACTGTACCAATAATAGAAACTATGTTGTCTAGAAGAAACCCCAGCAGATAAAGTATATTGTCCATGCTCAAGATCATTACCCAGAAACGAAAGGAAAACAGATCATATTCAAAAATTATAATAGCTCAAAAATTCAATAACCATTTTCTTGTTTTCCCCCAACAGGAGTACTGGCAATATGTAAAATCTTAGATTGCAGTGGTTGCATACAACTTAAAATCTGATCATTGGTCTGAAAAAAAAAAACATTAATGCAGTAATGAAGATGACACTAATTAAAGCAATTAACATTGCTAACAAGGCAGGCTGGGATCTGGTGCTTATTATTACTGTCAAAGGAATATATCAGACAGGTACCTGTTTTAAATACTTGTTAATGTACAACCATGTCTTCCAGTGGGAACAAAAAAATCATTCTCCTTGGAAGAAGAGCCAAATAAGACACATTTCATTTCAAATTTTAGCCCACTTGATAAAAACAGACCAGCAATCTTATTTTCACAGGCTCGAGTACATTAAGAAACTCAATATTAAATGGAGGTCACCTACTTTTTCCCACATTTCCACATACATTTTGTCTATACAAATACAAAATCCTCTATGTATCTGTGATGTATCCATCACAGAACTCAGACAAGTGGCATACTTATGTAAGTGTTCTACATTTTCTAAAAACCCACTGTGTCTAATTTGTAAATAAAACTTAAAACACATTCTTCCCATTCAAGCTAGAGTAGAGCAATACTTTCAGAATATCAAAGACGTCTCTAAGAGTACTTTCTGTCATCCTAGGGTAAAAACTGTATTTTTATCAGCATTCTCACTAATGCATCTCAATGATTGGTGAGACATGGGTAGTATAAAAGATGATCACCTACTTTTACAACTCCTATGTTTTTCTGTATCAGCAATATCCTCAGTCTCATTTAGTAGAAGAAAACGAACCCTCTCAAGGTGCACCTTGGTGCTGCACCATTTGACCATTTACTAAATCTGCCCTGAAACATCCTTGTTTTCTCAGACAAAAATACGTCATAGCTCACCCAGAGAAAATATATTTTTCAACTAAACGGATGTTGTGTGAGCGGGCCTTTCCAACAGAAAGATGTCAAATCAAGGGCTGCTGTTGGCTGTTTCCAACAAAACTCGAGTTGGAGTGGCGGCAGTACGAATCCTCGTGGGGTAAACATTTACACAACCAACCGGGCAGCAGAGAGGACCACAGTAAAAACGTTTCCAGAAGTGCACTATAGCAAGAGCGACGCACCTGTCTTCTGGAACACCTCCAGTTGCTCACTCTTTAGCTCTTTGATGGATGCTGCGACAGATTTAAAGGCTCCCTTCAGGCGCTTGCCAAGAACCATGTGATCCGGCTCTGCCCTCAATCTGATGCCGTATTTGTCTTTGTCGGTAGAGAGGGTGAGGTGGCGAACATTCAGCTCCTAGAGGACAAAGAATTATAAAAATAAATAGAAGTGAGAGATGCCCCCCCCCACTTTACAGTAATGCATCCTAGAATAATTAATATTACTAGTAGATGACACATTGGGGACAAAAAAAACATCACCCACTTACCACTGGAACATTCTGTGAAGTCCTAAATCATGCCCTGCCTAAAGTGAGTTTCCTTGTGCTATGAGAGTTCAGGAACCTTTGTGACAAAACCACTATTGAAAACAGACACAGGTCTGTTCTGTAATACAGTATTTCTTCTCATTTAAATCCCTTTCTACAGATGCATGACAGAATGCATGTCTGTCTCTTCAAATCTATGGAGGGATATTTACATATGGATCTATGAATAGCAATTTACAGTACACTTTTAGGAAATAATCTAGAAATTCCCTGTAGTCTAGCACAGGTCTTTAGGAGAAGCTATTTCAAACAACCAAGGTTTGGGTTTTTTCTAAGACTGATTTCAGAACTGTCAATGTGGTTTAAATAAAATATGAAAACTAATGAGGCCAAACCACAAAATAGCTTGCTTGCAAAATTATCATGCAGGCACATCCAGCTTATAACTTTCAGGGTATGATAAAGCTAAAACAGCATTTTTGTCTAGAACTAATCCATGGTCTATGAAAAGCAGTTCTTGCAGTATTTAAAGCACATTCTCCTGACAGCAAAAAGCATCTACTCTTAACCTAGTTCTGCCTAACACAACACACTTCACGCATAAGTTATCATATTAATAAGATTGACTGTCCAGTAAAATCTCAATAGGCTTTTCAGTGCATTTTGTATCACTGCAGACTTATTAATTCTCAGAACCATATCCGATGCTTCTGTAAATTATAATTATAAAATCCATGATCAGATACACCGGCAATTCTTTAACTCCTGAAAATAAAACAGCAAAATCTCAAATGGCTGAACTGGGTTGAAAAAAGTATTCTTTACTGGATCTCTAGCCTGCTAATATAAGCAAATCCACCATAGGATATCACTGGATACAGCACCATTTTTTTAAAAGCCATCTGCACATTAATTTGGTCCAATGACTTTAGCAAAACCAAATTACATTGTTACAACCCTCCTATAATTCCAAAGTAATGGCATCTTGTATGGTGTCTCTCTCTGTATGGTAACATAATTAAACCACAGTGTGCATACCACCCCTCGACATCAATCGTTGTGGTGTTGAGCAACTAATCGCATTTATACCTTAACGGAAACATTTTCTTTTTTCAATCGCATGTGCCAATGCCCTCTAAATACCCTGCTGAAAGACGGCAACAATTAATCACAATGCTGCAAGGGTTCCTTCCGACCAGGAGTCTTCTGCCAGTAGATAACTAACATAGCTCTGCTTGATCTATATTTAGCTACGTGTCACGCCTTCCCTGTCCATCATCCATTTCATTGGCTATATAACAAAAGACAGCAGGATGACCAAAAGTGCACTTGAGAAGTTCATCTGCACAAGACAACCAGATACAGGGCTCAACATGCCCGTATTAAAGAAAGCAGCATAAATTTAAATTATGAAAGACTAAAAAAAGGTTACAAAATGGCAGATTTAAGAGGAAACATTAAACGTACAATTTTCCATCGCCACACCAAACATAAAAGAAAATGTTTCAATTTGTTGTTGTTTTTTAATTACTTTATTACTTTGTTGAAAACCCTCACTGAAACCAAATGTTATATTTTCTTTAAAATATGCATTACAATCTTATCTCTTGGCAACCCCAATGAGACAAAATTTTCTAATATAACTAACACCTCAGCTCACTCAGTGTATGAGATTCCATGGAAGGAACATTAATGAGGATAAAATAATTCAGTGGGAAGCAGCACAGTTCCTTCACCACAATAAAACAAATAGTGCTACATGTTCTCCTAACCAGTTGTTTAAAAAAGAAAAGGTCTTATATTCCATTTTTACAGAATTTTAGTAGATAATATAGAAGACACAAAAAGATTCAAGTTTAGTTTCACATAACAATAAATCTAAAACTTTGAGTTTCAAATACACTTTACAGTTTCCATTCACTATTCACAATACACACTTCAAAAAACCTCCAAGACTACCAGTGCTTACATTAAGGTAATATTGAAAGCAATAATAAATTTAATGATCACTGGATTTTTTGTTGTATGGTGTATGCCCCACTTATTTAATTGTGGCTATACCATTTTTTAAATACTGTTAAAAGTTTGTTAAAAGTGTTTAGAATAACTGATATCTTCTAAATTAAGAGTTTCTGATATGGCCACATGCAGCATAATTAAGCTCAAGTAGCAATGAGATTTAGCCACAAAAAATAAAACGTATATCTGGTAACAATTGATTTCCAAATAATTAAATTACAAACTTATTTTTAACAGCTGGGTAATGGTTTTTGACATTTATTTTAACAGAGAAGGTTCTTGGTCAACTTTGTACTTAAGTAAAAGCTGTCCTTAGCAGGAATTACATTATATTGTATTGTGAAATATTCCATAAGTTATTTAAAAACTAAGACATGCTAACGTAGTTTAACACAATTCAGTCTTCAGAGAAACCCCTCACAGGCCATTCAGCTAAAACTCTTAGCTAAACTTTGTATTTGGATTAGTAAACACCACAGTGAATCAAGTTTTATAGCTTTATGGCACAAGGAGAGGTACAATTACCTGGAAAATAAACTTACATTAAAACCTTTGTAAAGTGTTGCTACTGTATGACATTCACTCCTGTGACAGACGTGGAAAAACAGTATTCCACCATCTGCAGCTTTTTTTAGATTGCTTGTACATGTTCAGAGAAATGCCCATTCGCCCATATCATATGCACCTACGTAATCAATTCTTTTGAACCAGTCCTCCTAACATACTGTTTCGTCATGAGTTCAGCTCGGCTGGCCTTTGCATCTTCTCTGGAAGACCTTTTGTCTCTTGGCATTTATATGACCAGAGCCAGACAGCAAAACAGCTCAGCCTCACTTTTCACCCTTACAGCCATACATGGTAGCTTTGTCCCAGACACATTTAAGTATCTTTGTACATCTTCAAAACAATCCCAATGACAGAATAAAGATGTAGCTTTTGTTACAAACTAACATTTCATTTATTGGTATTTCACACAGGCCAAAACTCTATTTTAGATGAAAGGTTAAAACAATTTTAAAAACTCTCTGCTAACTCACCTCCAAAATATATTTCTGCAAAGCCTGGATGTCTTTCAGAGCTTCAGGATCCTGGTGTATGACTACCACTTCCTTCAGAGGATACTAAAATGCCAAAGAAGCAATAAAAGATTTTAAACAAAGAAGCAATAAAATAAAAGTCACAGCTATTTATAGGAAGTGAAATGCCTATTTTTTTCTTCTAGCAAAACCTTATCTGGAAAATTCTAACTTTCATTTTAACAGTACAACAAGCTTGGGAAAATATTTCATTACAAAATGCCATGCCTTAAAAAAAACATTTGCTACTAATGAAATTATGTTTTTCCTTTGTGAGAAATTCAATCCGGTTATCTATGTAATACAAACCAGTTGAATACTTTCATTAGCAAATCAATGGAAACTTGTATACAAAATTTAGTAAACTAGAAGGATTTTTTAAGGGACATTTTATTTTAGGAGCTCCTCAGATAAAATACAATATTAAAAAAGTCTAAATTTCTTATTTCTTAAGACTCTAGTTATAGCGCAAGCATACAGTAAACATGCAAAAAATTACAGTGCACTAACACACAACTAAATAAACCATTTCCAAGGATGTCTACTATCACAGTGGAAAGCAGTGGAAGAGGAAAAAAATGTACAGAAGAAGAACGTTAAAAGGTAATTATGTAATGTCTAAACTAGAGAATACCAAAGTACACTCCTCCAATCAATGTACATAATGTAATACCACTCTACTAAATTTTTTCTCATTAAGGTTTTACTGTAACATTACACAATTATACCAGCACCAACAACTCCAGCTGGAATAGCACAAAGTTTCTATTCAAAGCAACAGATTTCAAACCATAGCCTACCTTCACCGGAAGGGTCTTCCTGTCCCTTATGACACGACCCAGCTCAATGACGGACTGCATCTGAGACACAGCACTCTCAATACGCTTATCAATCAAAGACTCTCTGTAATAGAAGGAGAAAGGACACACTGGCTCAGGAGACACATATAGATACAGATGAAGCACTTTCCTGAACAGCAACAACAAATTGCACTTCATGGGCCAGAAATCAACGTTGTTCTTAACGTGAAATTATGAATTTACAATTTCAACATTTATGAGAACAACTCCTTGGCTTTAGGTACAACATATGCATGGGTTCATATTAACATTCAACACATAACAGAGTAAGTAATTTGTTAATAGTAAATGCTTAATACATGTTTTATGAGAATCATGTTTAATATCATTTGGTATTTAGAACTTACAAACTGCTGAGAGGTTTTTTTTAAAGTACCACATCTCTAATACAATTACCAAATAATAGCTTTACTTAACCTACCTTTTGTTAAAAGTGTGTATTTTATCATGAGCAGAAGCCTGCCCCTACCTACTTAACGCCATTTTTAATAATGGTAATATTCTGAAGATTATGGAGTTATTAAAAGTAATTTACATCCCCTATACTAGTGCATATGATGACAATAAATGCATTTTAACAATGCAAAAAATAGAAAACAAGAATGTACTGCATTTAAATATAAAACCAGAAAAACCCGATAAGTTATATAAAGCTCTGGAAAGAATGGAGACGTTTCTGGAGAAAAAGGGTAAAATCTATTGCCATTTTAGTTCACCGCAATTACTGTATAATTTAACAACTCTGAAAAAAAATTGATAAATGTAAGCTAGCTGAGTTTTTATGAAGACTGACCCCTATCTCCTAATTCTAAGACACAAATCACACCGATCAGACACTGAAAAAAGTTGCTCACTGCACTCTCAGTATACCAAGTTGTTTCAACAGTATACTTGAAACAGTCGTTACTCGAAATACTATTATACGAACCTAATTTAACTCCAAATTAATGTGCCTTTAAAATGTTTGGCAAACTGTTGTCCCCTCTACAGCTGTCACTTTCTGAGGCACCAAAATAAACACTATTGCCACAATATAATATTGTTCAACAGGCAGCAATAGGTGGGATTATCTGGAGAAAGCTTTTACTTTCAGCATGCAGACATCCTGTGACCACCAAATAAATTACTAGCATATGTTTGCTTAGTACATTATGACCTCTGGAGCTTAATAGAACTTCTTTTTGTGTCAAAAGAACACAAAAATGTGACGAAGAGATGATGCAGATCAACCATTAAGCTAAAAGCTGTGCAAAAAGGGCTTGTAAATGCATCTCAAACTGACTAATTGAACTGCAGCCTGATGTACATTCCAAAAGCAGGAATTTAAAGGATATACTCACAAAGGCTTCCAAAACCTAACAACAATAATAATGCAAACAGGGCAGAAAAAAGGAATTTGAGAATTCCGTTATTTTTATACTAAATCAAGTATGCAGTACTATCATTAAAGAACAACCAGATTATTACCTATTTCACACAATGCGAGATTTTGCTTTTATTCCTCTCAGGTTTATAATAATGGAATAATATAAGTATCTTATATAAATTCAGCTGCACTTCTGTTGGCTTCACTTTTCAATAAATCAAATCGGTTTCTTGATTATATTTATGGATCAAAGCCTCTCTGCACCACCAGGAAGACAAATTAACTCAACAACTTGTAATGTCCACAACTGTGACTGTTCCACTGAGATCCCAGTAATTCAGTTCAGCTTCTGCAAAGAGCTGTATTTGTAATGCTCAAGGTACTGCAAGGTATGCAATAACTAAACAATTTTAAGCTTTGACATTCAATATCAAGAAGTTCCAGTCAATTAATCAGTTCATTTCTGATACGCATGACATAGGTCACCTTCAACCATATCATCAGAGTATGAAAAAGATTGCTAAATTTGACCAGCTGGTTAATGCTTAGAGAACTGCACGAATTTGTGAAACTGTAACCACACTGTTAAAAGCCTCCTTCAAAAAGTTATGCAAGAGTACAAGAGAAACTACTGTAATACTGATTTGGGACTGCACCTGTAACTTAAAAATACTTGCACTAGAACATTAACAGCTTATTGAAATAGATAAAAAAATATGACTAACATTTTGGTTTAATGTCGTATAACCCCATGATCAAAATGTTTCTGTATGTTTAAAGGGAATTGTAATAAAAAATCAGAATGGGATTAACTATGAAACTTTCATTCTTACACAATTTTGAAATAATTCAAGACAATCCCTTTCCATACTTTCTATAAGAAATGCAACATTTCTATTCCTGTGGCTTTTACGGACGTTTTATTTCAAAATAAGTTTTTCATTCATTCAATGATATCAGGAAAGAGTAATGAGCACTAGAAAATAAAAAATGCCAGCCAATTTGTTTCAAGTCACTTAAATTTAATCTCCAAAACCATTTGCATCATTTATTTTGAAACACTGCCACCTCCAATATGATTAGGAACATTGAAAAGAAATGCTAAGGAATAACAATAAAATTAAATGAGAGAAGAACCCAATAAATTATCAGAAAACCTAACGATATAGACCAGTGGTTCTTAGGGTGCAAGATGCCTGATTTTTGCCTGAGTGATATGCCAGCAGCCCTATCACTCTGCAATTCACCACTGGCAACCCACTGAGACTTGTCAGTACCTGGATGGGAAACCTCCTGGGATTTACTAAGGTTGCTGCTGGAAGAGGTGTTAGTGGGGCCAGCAGGGGGCGCTCACCCTGCAGGCCCCCTGGATCCTAATGTCCCAGTATAGTGATGGGGACGCTTTACTTTAAACGCCATCCTTCGACGAGACGACAAACCAAGGTCCTGACTCTCTGTAGTCATTAAAAATCCCAGGGCGTTTCTAGAAAAGAATAGGGGTGTAACCCTGGCCAAATTTCCCATTGGCCCTTACCAATCATGGCCTCCTAATAATCCCCATCTATGAATTCTCCTCCCCACTGATAGCTGATGTGTGGTGAGCGTTCTGGCGCACTAGGGCTGCCTTCGCATCATCGATGCTGCACATTGGAGGGGAGTCCCTATTACCTGTAAAGCATTGTGAGTGGAGTGTCCAGAAAAGTGCTATAAGTGTAAGCAATTATTTATTTTTTTTCTCCCTACAGTACATCTCCAAAAACAAAAATTACTTGAATGATTATTGAGAAGGGGTGAGGATATGTTTGGAGAACCAAAGGGGTGCAGGGTTCAGACAAATATCTTCATATATATCAAACATTTACACCTCTCTACTTAGAGAGGATGACATTATTAATTGCTTTGGAAAATGGTTAATGAAGTTACAAAGCGCAGCATGGGGGAATGGCATCTAACACTGCTGCCTTCCACCTCTTACATCTTGGGCTTGGTTTTGGATTGTGGAATTCACATGTTCTCCCCTCTCATATGGGTTTTCACTTGATGCTTCAGTTTTTTCCCCACCTTCCAAATACATGTCGACTAGTCTGGTTATGCAGTTTATATCATAAGCAATGAAAAAACTGAACTGGCGATTCTGATTTTTACAGTGGATGTTTCTAAATGATCCCTATGTGCTTGTGCGTGCCTTGCAATGGGCTGCTGTCATAGACCTGTGTGTGATATGCTTCTGAGCTAGGCTCTGAGATGCAGAGACCATTACCAGGAATAATCAGCTTTCTTATACTTGATAACTTTACTTGGTGTGGATATACTTCTAAACTAAAAGACTAAGGACTACTTCAATCAAGTAAAAAAATAGGAGGAAAAGCTACCAAACATCCTCAGGGACACCACAGAGTTGAACAAATGGAAATGTGACTGATTACATGCAATAACCAAGGGGCATTTGTATTACTTATTTTCATTACCCTTATAGAATTTGACTGATTTTATAAAAGGGTGGTTACTTCTTTTGATATCTATGTATACTGCAAAATTACAAACAAATCTTGATGCAACAAAAAAGCTATCCTGAATTAATTACTTTTAGAGTCATTTAAATTAAATATTGAAATTACTGTAACTGCGTGATAAAATGGCTATTTTAATCTCAAACCTAAGCTTTGGCAATATTATTTAAAGATTTACTAGAAATGTGTGCATGACGCATCGTACTCCAAAAATTTACTGAAAAAACGTAATGTTCAGAAAATAACTTCTAGCAACATTTAGTTATATTGTCTAATATTCACACAAAAGAACAAAAAACAAGAGTTAGAGATGTTTTAGATGATGCTTTATTTGACAACCCACTAATTCTATTTTTCTTACCTTTTAGATTACAGTATAGAAATAAAAGAGCTTAAAATGTCCACTGACCACAGTCACATACTGTACTCTGCTCAAATCAATTCAGTTCTCTCCAAAGTTTTCAGTATTTCTTTGCAAAGAGAAACTGTTTGCTCAACTGTTTGATAAAATGTCACAGTAAGTCCCAACATCATCACTGATAAACCTCAAGTAAGCCTGACTGACACAGTGGTGGTATTTCGCTTAAGGCACATATTAGACTTACCGGACTTGAGGAAGCATAAGGTAGTGAATGCTGCCAGTGTCCTTTTCCTCAACGGAGGCTGGATCGATCAAGTGTCTCAGGTTCTGATACATCATCTCAGTAATAAATGGAGTGAAGGGAGCCTGCAGAATCACAAATCTAATGGCACAGTTGTCCTTTCCTTTATCGCAATCAATCAGTCTCAAATCCACAGCTGCATTCTTAATAATCTACTCCCCCAGCCTGTTTGCAACACTAACTCAAAAGAAGCGAAATTCACAAACTTCAAAATCAATCACATTCTTCCCTTCACCTCGGCACAGGTGAAAAAAACATTCAGTGGGAAGGCCAGGTGACAAGGATTTTACAGCAAATATGGTTAAATGGTTACTTAACACACTAGCTATTAAATACACCCATTAATGAGTACACAAGAAAGATTCAAATATGTTCAAAGACGCAATGATTCAGCTGTATCAGAAAAACATTTATACATTTAAGCAACAAAAATTGATAAGTAGCGAATTACATGAACATGTATAACTACTGTAACTCACCATTAGCCTGCACATGGAGAAGAGAACGCTAAACAGGGTTTCAAGAGCCCAAACACAGTCCTCTGTCCCACTCTCCCCCTGCCAACCAGCAAAACAACAAAATAAATTGTTTTTTTAAAGCATAGGCTCATACCTTAAATTCTGTATGAAGACAGCATTGTAAACAATTTTAAAAAATCTACCATTTAAACTGTGTTTAAAGCTATTGTGGATATCGATTTTTGTAAACAATGTTACCAATGCCTATATGGTATAACACCTATTTTTGGTGTTACGCTAATTTGTTTAAGAAATCAGCTAATGGAAAGTGTCCCTACTTTAGACAGGTTTCCTATGCTAAAATGTAAAGATTTCAGATACGTTTAAAAAGCTTACCTTCAGTCGTCTGCGGTTTGTTCTCACATACCAGTTGGTAAGCATGTCGACAAACTTGACCAGCTTTGGTACAACAGTGTACAATCTATAAGCTAGAAAGAGGAATCTTGAATTAATTTTCTCCTTGCACATTAGGCATGAAGCTAGGAAAGTTGAAAGCACTTATATTTTTCTTTCACGGACTGCCAAATAAACTGAATATAATGAATGATTTGACAAATTATTCTCGCGCACTTCACTTTGCAAAAAAAAGGTGAAGCAGAAGTAAGTAAAACAAACACATCACTGGGGTTTACGACGTCAAATGCAACTTTTGCCGTTAATGATAAACCCTGCAAACATTTTTTCAGTTAAAAATATTTAAAAACAGTTATATAGCCCCTTAATCAGAATCATAAATTTAGAATAACAATTCTAAGGAAAAAGGGTAATGACTGGAAAATTAAAGAAGAGTGGCATTTTTTTACTTCTTCTTCTTCTTCTTAACACATTATCTGTGAAAGCTTTCTAGTAGTCCTTGACAAACTCAGCACTGATTCATACCAGCCATTTCAGCCTTGAAGAACTGGATGAGAGACTGTGTGAATGACAGAAGCCACTTGTCCATGATATTGTCACTTTCCTTGGCTGTGCTTTCATTATACAGGAACTGGATTTCCTCCTCCTACAACATGAAGCAAAAAGATACTGGAATGCCATCTGGCACCATTTAAAACACGGCAAAATAAGATATTTATTACAAAAATGGGACACAGAACACCAATTTATTTATTTAAATATAGGAAAAGCTCATTTCACCCATATAATATCACCAGGAAAAAAGGAGGAAGACTATCAGAAGTTACTCTGCTGTTCCTATTTAAAAAAAACTCAATAACCGCAGCTTCAAGTAACCACAAGGCAAAACCACTATCTGCTCCTTAAATTAAAGGGTGATCTTTTCACATGTGTTCTGTATTAAACATTTCTAGCACATTTACATGTCAAAAAGTGGGGGGATGGAGTTTTCATGTACCTTGTGTAACCTCTGAACATTCTGAACCAAGAAGCGGTACGCATTGTACCAGGGAAGAAAGACATCTTTCAGCACATCTCTCACTCCTTCCTCTTTGAAGCGAAGATTTTCTGCACGCACCACTGGGGAATTTATCAGGTACAGCCTTGAAGAAAATATTAAAGGAAATAAATTCTTCCACTCGCTCACATCTTTCTTTATTTTGAATGAGGTCAGGCAGTCATTCCTTGACTTAAACATGAGTGTCTTGGATGTTTTTAGGTTCCCAGCACAAGAACCCCTAAATTCCAGAACAGAAACAGCGTTTTGTGTTAATTTAAACATAAAATCCTCAGGTCAAGATGTGATGAAATTCAAATTTGCTTATGGAATAAGTGCATTAAAGTTCAGTCATGCTGAAATTATAACCAAACCCGTACTGTTCTCAGACAGACAAGTAAAGCAAATGGGGGAAAAAAGTACTGAAATTTGCATATTAAACTATTTAGATTGTCCCAATGAATGCTAAAACATCAAAGATGACAAATTACATTTTGCAGAATATACATCTGCACTACATTTAAGTCATTTGCACTAAAAAGATGCACTGGCTGAAAATCTTGCAGAAACAATTAAAGAAAACTTTAAACTGCTGCAAATATACTGCCTTGCAGCTAAACATATGCATCTGCTACATAACAGCAATGTTTCCTGAGGTTACATTGTTTTTAAATTTATAATATAAATCAATCATATTTGGACACCATAAAACACCATCTATGAAAATTAAAAGATGTCCTTATTCTTGATAAGCTTCAATACCTACACCTTTCATGAAAGTGTTAAATTTAACACTCCTGTTATAAAACAAAAGACAGAAACTTTTAGATTGGATCTTTAGAACATGTTGTCCATACAGCTATAAAATCTTAATGCACTTTCCTGCATTCTTCTCATAATTTATTCAAAGGACTGTAAAAGAAAAGCTTTAAGTAAAACATTCTCCCCAGATATACAAAAATGGAGGAATTTCAGAAATTAAAGTTCAAAACACCATGTCAAAAGGAGATGTAAGGTATTTGTTCATTTCCATTTTTCCTAGCATTGATTTTTTTTTCTCTTTTGAGAAAAAAATATATTATCAATTCTTACAGCACCACAGTAATGGTCAGCACAGCAATTTAGAATAAATACTTTTTCCAGCAGTGACTTTCTATAAAATGTAACCCAAATGAACAAACACCAGAAAAATTCATACCAAAGCACCAATACAAATTAGTGGCCACAGATGTGCTAGGAAATTAACTGAAACTCCCACAATCTATCAAATATGTATCTGCTGTCGCAGTGTATAATTTTGCTCCCTGCAAATGAATTATTTTCTTTCAGAGGATAATGAGTGATCATTAGTGGTAACAGGACAATACTGAACAACATGCAGTTGCAATTGACTTTTGGAATAATTCAGTCTAAACCGGGAGTCAGCATTTTTTTAGAAGCCTTCTCTGTTTGAACATAGACCACATCCATCCATAATTAAAACAAAAATGATTTTAAAGTCTTTTTACAGCCATGTTGTTTTTCTCTCTCATTTTGGTCGAGACCTAAACTTCTGGATATTTATTGGAACTTTCAATACTTCATTAGTTTTAAGTGCCGCACAAGCCCACCAAAGCCTCAAGATTGACACATGATGATGGGTTTCACATTCCTGAACCCTGCAGAACACTAGGTACCTCTATACTTAAAAGTGACTATTTTTTCTATAAACTGTATTGCATAATATGCAAGATAAGCATTCATTAACACTGTTTTTTGGAGTGTTCTATAACCCCGTGTACTAGGTTTCAACAAGACATTTGGCAAGCAAACACACAAAGTCTTTAAGCTTTTGTGAACAAGATCACTACTAGCTGTCTGGCTTGGGAAGACATTCTTAATGTCACGATTTCTTGATTCACAAGTACCCGGGTAATCACTAGCATAGCAGAAGTACACAGCAAGATGGCCAAAGAATGCAATTAAAAAAGAATGCTGTTTCCAATCATTTCTGCATCATTGGACTTTGTATAAAGAAGTAAATATGAATTGCTCTGATGCAGATTAAGGATATTAACAATTATCACATTCCTGTTTCTTAGACACCATCTTATCTTCCCAGTCAATACTTTTGCATTAACACAATAATGCAGCAATTTTCCCTTTTGTGGAGCCAATTTATCTTTGTGGTACGTACCTCAAGCCATTAAAATTAATTGCCAAACTGGTTGTATATTTTAGTTTACCACTTTCCATAGATACTATTAAATGCTTTGAAGCTCAGCTAAAAAGACAGAAGGAATTCAGTGGTCATTAATGCAAACAAAATAAGACTGTGGTCACAGACATCTCTCCAACAGCATAACACCTCACCTCATTAAAAACACAATTTTATTTGCTCTAAACCCTAATCAAACTAAAAGGAATAATCTTCTGAGAGGCTAAACTACACGAACAATTTAGATTTTGCACTGAAGAAAATGGATTTTCAGTACACTCATGAACTAAGATATGATTCACATTTAAAACAGGGAGGATTACTGATTATTAATTCCACTACATTTCAAGTTCTGCGTCTGCTAGCCTATTTTACATGGCTCTGACCTAATGAGATTTTTAACAACCATAAAAATGCTTTTAAAAAAGATATGCACAAACAGAATAACGCTAACCGTAATGCGTCTGCTCCATAGTTCTTCACAATTTCAACAGGATCTGGATAATTTTTCTTGCGCTTGCTCATCTTCTGTCCATCACTACGAGAAGAAAATAAAGATTATTAACTTCATGGTAAAAGACTTCAGCATCTCAGTTTTTGAAAATGTCGCCAGCGCGACAGTAGGAAATATGATCGCCACTGCCTTTCGACTCATCCTCTAGCTGGAAGAAAGACTGACAATGCTGGAGTTACAGAGGAAGAATCAAAATGTTTTCACAGAAGGTGCTTTCATTTAGCTATCAACCCATATTTACAACTAAACCAACACAAATAAATGCCTAGCTAGACTCACATCTTCTTTGAAGTATCTGGTGGCTTGTCCACTGGACAATCAAAAACAAACACATACTAACTTCACATATTTCATCCTCCTCCTACATAGTTACCCTTGAAAATTGGAATCTTTCCTAGTTTCCACATATTTTAACATATGGTGTGGCAGTCACCACTCCACAACAGATTGCAGTCTTTCACAAAGGCTTGGTCTCTTCCCACTACACAGACCTCAGTCTGCATGAAGACAAAGAAGCTATGTCTGACACACTCTTAACACAGATGAGGCAGTACTGTATATCTCGTGTGCCCAGGGCAAACCTGTGTCAACCATTCTCCTGCCTACTGTGTCTTATAGTTCTTACACCCTCTGTACCTCCATCTATACACGCAGGTAATACACAATGACAAGATGCTTATTTTTCATCTCTTAATCATCACTGACAGGCCAAATGGTCCCTTAAAACAAAGGGACACGTTTTATGCCAAGTCTAGAACTGTGGGAGATCAATACTTAAGTGTTTGATCTACCCCACACTCACAGTGTATCTTGTCAAATGCTTTAATTATTTTACAATTACAATATGTCAACTGAAAGGTTTAACATGTTTCTAGTATAAACACCAAAATAAACTTTGCAGAGCTTCAGTTTATTAAGAGATTTATAATTGTAGACAACCACGCTATTATGACCAATGCAAACTTTACTGTGAGTTCTAAAACATAACGCAGGAAAAAAAAGAGAAAAAACAAACTAACCTTGCCAGAACCAGTCCATTTACTATCACATTCTTGAATGGAGGTTTACCAAAGAGAGCTGTTGACAGCACTAGTAGTGTATAAAACCTGCAACAAAATGAAGCCAGAAATGTCAGTGTCGATTCGTCTAACAGAAGAAAGGAAAATGTGAACTTTTCACTCACAGAAATTAGGAGTTATAGACATAACATATCATAGATTAAAAATGCCGTCAAGAAATGTTTTCTAACAAAACAATACAAAATATTTGGCGATTTTGGTATTTCTATTTTTAAAAAAAATTCACCGGAAAAAAAATGGGATAATCTCAAAACACCGTTGACCTGTAGTGAAGCATTTCACTCCATTTCCTCTCCCTTTCAACCATTTGAAATCATAATTCATAAATCAAGTAAATTGCTCTTGCCCCTCTTACAACGATAAAGAAAACGTGTGAACAATTAGTGCTCTTTAATCTTAAATTGGTATTTCTCATCATGGATGAGATGGACAGTCATTGATACGTGCAAGTCAAACGCTACCAACAGATTCACACTTCTAAACACCCGAGACTCAATTTCCTGATAGGTCCGGAATTTACAGCCGCAGTTTTAAAACAAAGGCCACAGCGTGACATTTCCCAGCAAATGCAGCCTCTGCTTTTTACTCTCTGTGCTTCACGTTTTACCATCCTCTCGTCTGGTCGATGCCCTCAGCGATGAAGTCGGCTGGGAAGGCATCCTCAAACTCCTTCCGGTTCTCGAAGGGATAGTGGACCTGCGCGTAAGGCATGCTCCCACTCTCGAACCAGCAGTCGAACACCTCCGGCACCCTCCGCAGCTCCCCCTTCCCACAGCGGGACGGGATGGTCAGGTGATCGATGCTGTAGCGAGAGAGTAACACACGGGGCATGAAATACTGAATCCGATTCACTTCAGGCGTTACAGAGTAAAAAAAAAATCCAAGACACAATAGGGATGGATTAAAGATTCGGGGGAAAAAAGCCAAGACACAATAGAGATGGATTAAAGATACAGAAAAGAAAAGTAACAGCTGTACGTTCTATGACTTGCCAAATTCAAGTTTTTTTTTTTTATTTGCTGGAGCAAAACTAATCACAAAAGAAAACATTCTGCCTAAAGAGATAAAACAGAAATTCAATCCTCTCCAAATAGCGTAGCTGGATTATTTACAGTTAATGAGAACGTATAAAAGCTTTCAGCATGACTGTCTATCCTTCATAACATTTGCTGTTCCAGCCGCAGGCTGGATTGCAAGTTAAACATCACTAGATATTAAAAATTGTGTAGCTTTTTTAATCATTAGCAGGAGACACGGCCCAGGGTCACACTTTATAAGCAGTATTCTGGTACTTAAATACAATGAGTCATGGTATTACAACCTACAGCACAGTACTGAGTATTGCAGACAACAAACATCAGCTATTCCCTGAATTGTATGACTGCTGGTTCTAATTTGATTGATTTGGGATGTTTTACACATCTGTGTAAAGTGCTCCTATTGGGTAAAGAAGCTGCTTATCAAAGTTTCATAGGCCCACAGGAGGAAACAGATTAATCAAAGCAGCGTACAGATATCTCACCTTTCTCGGTGAAGATCTGTTACTTTTGTTCCTGTCAGCTCCTCCAAGTCAGCCACTGACCCCACACACACCACCTGTAAAGAGCAAAAAACATCTTAAAATAATCTGTCCGGAAGAATTAGTAAAGTGCTTCCATTGCATCATTTAATTTAACTAAAAGGATTGTTTTACTTAAGCTGGCCAACTACACTCCATATCAAAGCTGTCTGGAAAAAAAAAACAATATTCCGTTTCATTACACATATTAAAATATTTTGGGTTTGTGGTGTTGATGGCAAAAAATGTTAAGCAGTATCCTTTCAAGAACAAGAGGAAAAATGGTACAGCATAACTTATTCAGTGATTAGACACAAACGCACCCCAACACTGTCTACAAGAAAAGATAATAAGTCTAAATTAGAAATCTTATATCTGCTATGACAAGAAGAGGAATTTCAGAATAAGTACTGATGGAAGTAACTGTTATAACTATATATAATTATAACTGTTAAAACTATATATATTTATACTTTACTGTTTTTAAGAGGCTTGCATTGCTCATTGTATTTCTTCAATAGAAAATCAAAGAATGCAGACAGGATTTTAAATAAAGCTGAAAAAAAGCAGAGCCCTTTTTGCACACTGCATGCATTATTTCATTCTGTAAAAGCAAGTGCTAGGTTTTAATTTCCTTTAAAGGGTCAGGCACATGACCTAAATAAGAAAGTGACAGCAAGGAGAACTGGAAAACTACATTCTTGCCCTGCACAAGGCTCAGGGAATCAGATGCACTCCAGAGATCTGGGATTGGAAATAGTCATTATGCTATTTTCAGGAAGCAGGTCACTGTCCTTCTTTTATTCAGAGGCTCATTTCATTTTTCAAAATGTGAAACAACCTAATTTTAAGATAATATAAATTAGGTTACCGTCTCCAATGGCTCTTTCCCTTAAAGAGGATGTAGTTCGTATACTCGTGGGAGTGATGCAATGTTCTGAACTTTGTCAAGTTTTTAAACGTGTAAATTTAAGATCTGCGTGCTTTCCCTTTGAAATATACTGAACTGTATACTGAAGAAATGTTTCGGGCACAGCAAGTGAAAAGGGTAGTTCTGCTTCTGAGGGGTTAAAAATGTAAGATTTTGGGCTTCCCAAGTTCACATGAGAATTTCAACTATTAACTATTCAACTATTGGCATTTCACATACTTTTAAAGAGTGGCGATTATACTTGGGGGTACCTGATGGCAAAGCTAATCAAATTCTTCAGTGGCCCTTATTTTTATTGTATTTTGATAGATGCTACAATCTATGGCACAAGTTATTACAAGAAAACAAAACCCTGGAAAATAAAGAAACAGGAAGCCCAGGATAATGATGCTATTTGGCTTTGGCACTGAACAGGCCACACAGGGGCTAAGAAAACAATTCAATCTCAATCTGAATGTATATTCCAATACATAACCAATCTTTGTTGCAGCCTTACAAATTCTTGTCCTTGGCAATAGTTTATTCCTGCTATGTTAACTTTTTTGTTTCTAAAGATGGGAATTGGTGTTCAAAAAATTAACATAACTTAGCAAACTGGTTTCAAGGGACTCTGTCAATGAAAACTACTGAAAATCAAATTCCCAAAGCTTTCCCTATAACGCAGTGTGCTCTTTAAAATGATTTTCTGCTTATTAGATGAATCCAATCCATAAGGATCATTTACTTGTAAAATACTGTGAAAAAACTACTGCTCTACTTTATATCACTTTAAAGTAAACTTTTTCAGTCAGCCGAATAAGCAAATAAACCATAATACCATTCTAACAAATACTTGATATTTTACAATATTCTATAAAAAGTTTAAATGAGTTTAAAAATGTCAACAAATTTTCTTTATCAAAAGGCATTTTAACAAGGCTGCATCTCAACTGACCTCTTCAAAGTCATCGCTGACCCACAAAGGAATTGGGGTTCCCCAATATCGGTTTCTGGAAATTGCCCAATCACGTGCTTCCTTCAACCAGTTACCAAACCGCTTTTCCCTCACGAACTCGGGAACCCTGAAATCAAGTGCACAGAAAAAGAAAGAACATAGTTAGTCTTCCAGAGTGGTGAGGGGCTACAAGTTTAGGAACTCGAGTTCCACTCACTGAGATGAAAAAAACTTCAAACATGGTTCTGGCAGGAATGCAGTGTTATGCAAGAAAGCTTATGTAATATTCTTTTATTACACCACACATCTGTTCAGGAAAATAGTGATGGGTCAGCCTCTTGAATCAAGAACACAGAGTGGATAGCCAGGAGCACTTACCCACATGAGTCTTGCATTCATTAAACATATCAGCTTCAAACATGGAAGTAAATTAAACTGTAAGGTCTTTCCATACCTACACTGCAATAAAGCTAAACTCTTTATTAGCTTATTTTACAGTTAACTTGCATTTTCTATATAAAATATAAACGCTGTTACATAAACTACAAATAGCCATCTTATACACATACGGTGGCTATGCACCTACAAAAGCAATGAGATCTAAACTCACAGCTGAAATTTCAGGATTTGCATGCTCAACCACAAATGCAGAAAAATACAATCTCAGTGACAGTGCCGTTTCTCACTTGAATGAGTGTTTGTGCCAAGACAGTATCGGGGCGCAAAAATAAAACCAGTACTATTAGTTGTGATTATGTGATCATTTAATAATATGGTTCACATCAAAGCAAAACTGTACAGGCTGAGCCAAAGTCAAAACCTTTGCAATTTCAGGAAAGCAGACTCTGAAGGAATGAGAAAGAGAGAAATAGAAGGGGACAGGGTAGATATACAATAAGTGGAAGATGGATGGTAACAGTTTAAAGAACTTCAGCGAGAAGCAAAGAAATTTATCCCAAGAGTTAACAAAAGCTAAACAACAGTTTCCCAAATGGCTCAACATATCTATTTGGAAAATTATATGGGAAAAGAAAGCACTTTTCAAAACAATTAAACATAACAGGAACCAGTTGAAAGTACAAAGAACTCATATTAAAAGGGACATCAGAAAGTCAAGGAGAGGAAGGAAATATTGCGATCAGAATTACAACAGCAAAAGAATCATCCAGGATGAAGCACAATTTACCTGGGATAACAATGGAAAAGTGTGAAGTGTTGAATGGAAAAGGCAGATGTACTAAGCAAGTATTTCACTCTGGTGTTCCACTAAAAGTCTAGAACGCATCTCGGGCAGCAGAAAAAAACATGATAAAATAGTTTTAGCATAGATAAGGCAGAAGTGTTTCAGATCAGCTATTGAGCTCTCTGGATCAAACAAATTATTCAAACGCTATTGACACAACTCTTCCAACAGTCCCTTAAGACCATCTCGGTTTAGCAGGACCTACATGTTTATACACTTATTCTTGTTTGTGCCAAAATTACTCCTTTCTAAAGCAACTTTCCAAAATTTAAGTATTACTTCTTCAGATTTTTGTGTTTATGTCTGCACATAAAATAAAGAAGCAATAATTGTTGATCTTATCTAGCCATTTATAACTTGGACCCATATTTATCCAATTTTTTTAAACAAAATATATTTTTCATACTACTTCTTCCACTTGGCACATATTAACATTTAATACAATATTTTGTGTTGAGTGCATATAATTTGTGTTAATAAAAGTCTGATGGTAAAAGACAAGGTTCTATGAGTATAAGGCAGGCTCTGACTGAAGTCTACATTCACTAGATTAATGCCATTTTCAAATAGGTCCACCAAAGAAATAAATCTATATCAGTTCAGTCACAGTTTCAAAAACACACTTCTAACCTGTGCTCAATGGCAGGTGACACATCAAATCAGAAGCCACCTTCTTCGCATTTGTTTAATAAGGTCAGGAATCTCCTTCACACCATAAATCACTTTTTGAAAAGTGCAGTTTATGTATTGAATTAATCAATGACATGCCGTTCGCTAGTACCAATACACGTTCGCTTCTATTCAACAGCTCCGTAAATGACATGCAGGCATTGTGTTGTACTTTCCATTTGGAATCACCAATGGAATTATTTTTAATATTCTAGCTTCAGATGTGTCACCTGTCAATCTGCCTCAATGCATTAGCAGATACTGTAGGCATGCTCAGCCCTCATCCCCTGTGTCGGAAATGTGCACTCTTCACAGTGCACTGTTCAGCCATTCACCTGCTCACAATGTAAATCTACATGCCATCCATGTTCACTAGAGGACAGATCTTACTGCCAACATGGCAAACCACAGGCCAAGTCTATATCACATCCAGGCAAGCCACAATGATCACCATACCTCTGAGTCAAACAAGTTGCATCTAGACCAGTGGTTAAGAACACAAGAACAGTTTCTAACTAGAGGAGGCCAATCGGATGAGCTAGCACGTTTGGTAGTGAGGTGCCAATTGATCCACAGATCTCATCCAACTACTTCTTGAAAGAAGCCAAAACATCGGCTTCGCTAACGCAGCTGGGCCGCTTTTCCCCATTTTGCCTTGTGTTCTCGGTTCTAAAATGCACACTCAAATCAGGTGCCATGTGTGTGCGCTGGCTCATGTTGTACCGTTCATTTCGATTGAAGGGTGTCGGCCTGCTGCCATGCAGGGGCGCAGAAACCCCAAGGAGTTCCCAAAGGGACATCCCACCCAAAACCTATAGTGTAATATCAAAGGGGGGCTTGTTTACCAGAACAGAATGACTAACATGTTAGGAAGTATTATAACTGTTATGTTTTAGTTTGAGGATAGGTTTAAAAAGAGAATATTTACTGGGAGAAAATTCTTGAACAAGAGCTCCAAGCCATAAAAGAGAAAGAAGGACTAACCTGCACTATATAACCCCACTTGCGCTCATGCCTTTAGGATTGATATATTCTATCTGTTCATCCATGGTCAGAAAACTGCTTATTCCTGCTAGAGGAGGTGGCAATCTCAGAAGCATAAGGCACAAAGGTGGACTACACCCCGGACTTTGTGCCAAAACATCGCAGGACAATTCCTATTAACTTAATCAGTATATTCTTCCAGAGGAAAGCAGAGAATGTTCATGCACCCTCTTCTTCTTGAAACGCACCTGTTCGTGTGAAGCCAGATATGTAGAACATTTTAATAAGCGTTCAGAACTATTCCCTTAAATAATCAGAGCCCTGCTGCACATAATTTTAGTAATTATCTGCAAGTTTCCTCATATTAAATTTGACATCTACGAGCTGGAAATTATTGCCTTTTTCCCCTCTATTTCTTGCCATTTCTCTCACTAAAAATAAAACACAAAGCCTCCTTTAATAAGTTGGACTGCAAAGGTTAGAGCTACCTCCAAGGCATTTTGCTTATATTTTTTTCTATTTTCCTCAGATTCCTATTTTTTTTTGGAACACAATAGTGCCCCAAGAGACCGGCACAGTACAAATCACAGCGAGGTTCCACCAGGCCAGCAATGAGTTCATCAATTCCCATTTGTGAAGAAGGCATTTCTATTTAAGCAACCAATATATCAATTTAATGATTTGTCTTTCCACACTATATTTAGATTTTACAGTTTATTTTGCTGTCACGTGCTAAATGTGTTTGGATATTTCATATATATATATATGTGTTTTCATAATAAGTGAAAGCTGTGATCGAACTGTTCTAAAGCTGTGTTGCCCGACAGCTCAAAGAATAAATCCAAGACAATCTTTATCTTCAGGATCCTGGTTCAATTAAAAGTGAGTCACAGTAGTTAATCTGTTTATCCATTTCATAGGAGGAAAAATGAAGTGACAAAACAAAACCCTCAATTCAAAGCCTCAGTGTGTCTGACATAAAGGCTAAAGATTCTCCTTTTTCATTCTTGCTTCCAGCTTAATTGTCGCCTCCCAGCAAAACCTACATTTCCATTTGATGATTGGTTTTCACAAGCTATAGATTTCCTACTAGAAAAAATGCCCTGCAGTGCCAGACAGTAATGTATGGGGAGCACAAAGTAAAAACTGCTGTTGCCAAGAAAATTTCTATTAATATGCTATTGCTTTATGCTACATATAAAATACTAAAAAGGCAATTAACAAGTAATGTTCCTCAACACCCTCGCAGGACCACCCACTTGGTACATAAGATGTTTAGCAATCATCTGAAATTTCTAAAAGCTGAAAACTGGCCCACAAGATTTAATGGGGGGTAATCTAAGAATAAATTAGCTTAGTTACAGAGTTTCATTAAACTGTAGCTGCCTGGGATTCAAGATACAGTAGCAGTCAATCATTAACACTATACAAATCACTACAGCACTTTTAAAGTAATAAAAAGTACACTATTAAGACCTAAGTGTAAAATGCCTGCTTCAATCACATTCAAACAAGAAAAAGCTGATTAAATGAGAGACTAATATGGAGCACCAAGGTAACATGCCCAATCTGAGACAAGTCTATCTGGGGATTCATTCAAACATCCTCTAAGTAAAGCTTACACAAAAGGCTTCTTAGCTTTGTTGCATCCGAAAGTGTAATAGACACACACCTCATTTCTCCTGGATCACTCAGGACCCTCAGGGGACAAGTCTGAACGAAGCCCGAGTACATCTATACACTGCACCGAGCTGGGGACTAACTTGCACAACACACTGTGATGAAAACAGACTATACATAAGATTAACACACAGTATGGCACAGCACTAAATCAAGAGCTAGAGGTATAAATAACTGAACCTGCTCAAACAAAAGAATATGAGATAAAAAATCATTTAAACAATCACTTACATTTTCAAATATTTGAAAATAAAAACCCCGTTATTAAGATTAATTTCTTGTAGCTCCTCTATAACAACAGGAAGCTGTCTTTGAAAAACATTTATGCCAGAAACGCATCCCACTGTACACAAGTCAAAAATGTGCAAAACAAAGTTAGCACACCTCTTATGCTTGTAAATGACATGTAAGCCCCCATCCCCCGTTTCAAGACCCAACCAATTATTCTGCGAAGAAACTCTGAATCCCTATAAAAGCATCATGTCTGCAAAACTGTGCACTATGCTGACAGCAATCACGTCTGTGTTCCTAACGCTTACTTTCCACCTACGCTATCCTGAAAAGTTATGATTTATAAATGGATTACATCGAGTGGGAGTGACTCAACCATTTATGCCTGAGATTCAGAACCAAAAAATGTGTATAATAAAATAATAAAGAGCATGTGCGCTATATAAACCCGTGTGGATTTATGGATTATTTTAGGATAGGACTCTCTGTCCCTGGATTCTGCAGGATGGGGAGACTGAAATAGCGAAGGTTCAATCGGTCACCTCTAACCCCACCACAACTGGCTGCGAATCCTTGTTCTGCAGTGAAGCAGTGAGGGCCTGACAAGACAAAGAGATCAGACCGCACTACTCCATCATCATGAGGACTGTTAGTTTTGCGAGATGAACCATTTCAGGAGAAGGCAAGGAAAGAAAAGAGACAGACAACAGGGAGAGAGAAGACATGCTTTACCAGTAGCACTGGCTGTTGTTCTCCAGCAGCTTATCCACCATGTGCTCCACTCCCACGAACCAGCTTGGTACCGCTTTGTAAATAAGCGGGGTGTCTGATCTGTTAATCCAAAAAAAAAACCAACAAAATAAACGAAGGAAATGCTGCAATGTGAAAATAGTGGAATTTATAACAGCACACAAAATCCTACTGATTATGAAAGGCTTTAACATGAAAATCTTAAGCACGCAAAGTGTTGATACCCATGGTCATGAAGACAGCTGTGCACATAGTATACCACATACTCTCCAATGTCTTCACCCAAACAAGTTTTTTTTAAAGAAAAATAAATTCACTGCAACTGCTAAAGCAAAGAACATTACTGTTGATATTATGAGCTCAATTGGAAATGCATATCTTCACGGTAATGCATTCCTTACTTATGCTGTGAATACCTACATTTTACTCAATTTTCTCTTATGAAAATCCAATCTAATTTGGACAAATTAAACTAAACACAGACAAGATTTTTTTATAATTAAATCTCAGCTATTGATGAGAGTGTAGCTACTGCTTTGCATACAAAGTAAGTTCCTTTACATAAGACTAACTCAAGTCTGGATGTTCTCTTGAAACTATTTCATCTTACTGGCTTTTTATGATTTAAGTGTAGTGTAGTGCCCAAGTTTATGTACCATTCACAGCATTCCCATATTAAAAGCAAAAATAAATAAAAACACCAACTCTGCCTCAGAGAAGTCCTAGCAATTCATCACAGAAGTAATAAGTGAAAGGTAATTTTCAAATGCTCAAAGGGCAATCCCAGGACAGCTCTAGTGATGTCACATTTCAAGGAGAATTAAAGGTTATGCCTCTTCTAGAGGAAACAGGGATTTTTTCAAGCCAGCTAAGATCTGGACTAGTTTCAAGTCCTTCATCCAGCAGTATTGAAAAGAAATGTCAGGGCATCAACATTCATTTGTCTAAAACCAGCACTAAACGTCATTAATCTGGTGTCATCAGTGCCATCTGCTGGCAGACTGAGGCTTTCACACTGAAATACTGCACTGAAAGCCTACAGCTTGGAGCTTCATTCCATGATGCTCAAATAAAGTAAAAATCCAGAATGTTTTTTTGTATATGCTTCCAACAGTCCAGAAGACACTGTTGAAAAGGATAGGAAAATGTAGCTCATTGCCAACAGGAAGAGAAACTGCTTGGGCTAATTTCCAGCTGCAGCTGTTTTCAACCTGTGTACAATTTCAGAATAAGTGAAAGCAAACAAAGGCCTCAATTAAAAAAAAATGCAATGAATACTAACAGTTTAAACTTTCTGCGGCTGTCTAATCACTACATTGACATTTAGGAGTAAACTAACGGAAGTAACCAACTATGTGCAGACCTGCCAATTCTTCCCCAAACTAACAAATTCAAATGCAAAAGCCATTACAAACAACTGTTCCGGAACAGTCAACGGTAAAGCATGTATTTTGAACCCCAAATTAAAAGAAGTTGCTTTGGACATTCGAACATACACGCACAAGGGAAGACAGACACAAACTTGAAAAACACAGAAAAACTGAAAACTGCCCAAAAAGTCTAAGAATTCCGAGTTGCACATTCAGCCAGTCTACAGTTGGTTCTTTTCTATTAAAAATCATATTAAACACGTCATCGGTATCTTCCAGCGCAAATTCCTTAAACCAAACTGGAACGAACACTCTGATAATCAAATTATTTCAATTTGAGCCAAAGGACTCAAAAGGAAGACGGCATTCATTGTCCTGCTTATTAAAAAGCCACAGACCCAACAAAATAACATGTTTTCCAGGAGAAGGAACAAAAGGCTTGAAACACACTCGGCTAAGAGTAATTTCAGATCTGACCAACCAGAAAAAAAAAGGAGAAAGCACCAAATTTGCAAGTTGTACATAAAAACAAATGGCTCCTGGGGACAGTAATCATCTGACGACAGATTCTTCTACATGACAAAGTAACAGAAAAGGCTAAGAAAGGCTGTATGAACTGGAAAACTAGAAAATAAGGCAGCATGATATACATTAAAAAAGAAGGAATATAAGATACATGTTTAGAGTGTTTCAATGAGCCTATGTATTTTAGGATCATCCAGTCACAATGACCTTCCTATACCTATACCTAAGTGATGGAAAAAACTGCCAACAAAACTGACCAAACAGTCAGTCTGAATCATTTCTTAAACCTTCTCATCAGCAGTTTGTGCTGGACGAGCAAGACGCCACAACCTTTCAGATTTAGTCTTTTGACCCAGGCGAGTGCTGAGGGAGCAGAAAAGATATTGACATGATATGCAAACAAGTGACAGGGATGAAAAGCAGTCTTGTGTCAGCTCGTGTTTCCCCCCCCCGACTTTACATTGCCAATACTGCATTGAATTTTCGAGGTCAGAAAGTAATGGGACTCCAGGGACATTCGGTGTCTACTGGAGGAAGCAATATCCTCTATTCACATGAAGTAAATAAAGAGTGCTCTCCTGAGATACGGCGAAACATTTAAATCACGGCAGTAACAGAAAGGTTACCTCACCTTCCCCAACTTCTGTCATTCCATTGATTTCCCACTCACCATCACACACAGGGATTATGTTCAGAACGTGCCTAATGTACGGCACAATCAGGCAAAAAGGGGGACTCAATTTAACTCTTTAACTTTTTTTTTTAATTACGGATTGCCAATTACTTTTTTTTATACACACTCAACACTGCAAAGGTGATGCAGGCTCCACCGAGCCTTATAGGAGAGGTAGAACCAGGTGGAAAGTGTGCCGTGTCTCTCTTGTGAGAGCCCAGATGGTCACAAGAGTCACTGTTTCACCAGGAGCTGAGGAGACGTGGTGGCCCCCTATTTGGGGAATCTCGGTCACAATCACCTACCAACACTCTATCGAGCCATGTCTTGAGGGGCTTTTGAGCAAATGCCTTTAGAGACTCCCTTTTCAACATGAGCAACTTGTGATTCCCACGCTATACCCACATAAAGACCCAGTTCTAATCATATTTCTGTGACTAAACACCATTTATCCCGTGCACTTTAAAGAACATTTGAAAAAAAATCAGAACATGAAGACCTAAGACTGTAAAGCAGGTTTAAGTCAGGGGTGCAGGTACAAGGCCAACAGGACAAGGGGGTCATTTTTTTAAAATGACCGGAGATGCTTACAGCAGACGAAGTGCCTCATTTAAACTGGAAAGACCAGAACGACAAGCTATGAACACGTTTCAAAGAGGCAGATTTTACTGAAGGGCACAGTCTTTAATTTGATTTTTTTTTCCCCCCAATTCAGATTCATAAATACAACCAAGCCCTGGTTCATAGGATACTGCTCTCCCAGCTTTGATTTCACATCAATAAACCACAAAAGACCTTGAATCAGAATGTTTATTCCTGTCAATGCAGTGAACCCAAACATGACTAAAACCAGTTAAGAATAAATAACATCAAGCATGCATATTTTCACTATTGATGTAGACATTACAATCCTAATAAGGAGGTCAAGAAGTTTGCTTAACACTTACCTCCAGCAGAATGGATAGTTGTGCTTGAATGTGCTGGCATTCACCAAACGGCCCTTTTCTTTCAACAATTTGATAATGTGTTTGTCTGCATCCTACAGAGAACAAATGAAAAGCTTTTTTTAAAGTTATGAACAGGCACAATCGGAAATTTTACCTAATTTTGCCATGTTTGATGTGACGTCCGTGTCATCAAAGTGACAGAGAATTACATGAAAAACAATTGCCTCAGCTGGATGTTTTGAGAAATCATTTCCATTCAGATAGAAAGCAGAGGGGGAAAGGGATCACTGATGCAGTACAATGGCAAAATGTGTCACTGGAGCATGAGGAAGAGTGTGGAGCGTGGGTGATCTGGAAGGACACACGTTTGAGGAAGAGCACAGAGAGAGGCTGTTCTAAAAGGGCTGGAGCACGAGGAAGAGCTGAAATGAGGCAGCTCCCATGTTTTGATGAAATTTTTCGTGTCTTTGTGTAGATCTTACGGTGGGACAATAATAAATATGTATTATCTCAAACACTTGGATGTATTTGACAAAACAAAAACACCAGAAATATGACAAGTGATATTATATCCTGAGACCCTGCCAGCCAGCTTCCATCCATTCTATTCTCTATGTCTTTTGATATATCCTGCGCAGAAAAACATGAAATTGTGCCATTCTTATTGCAACTGTAGGCAACTGTAGGCTGCCGAGTCTGCTAGCTGGACCATATTTCCTGTTTGAGCTGATTCTTTGCACATGGCACAAAAAAGCATAAGATCTGGTCTTTTGTTGAAACAGTGAAAGAACTATGCTTGTTAATGGTAACCTAGAAAAGAATTAACAGGTTGCTTTAGTTACTCTGTACTATGATTCTGCTGTCTTTCAAAGCAAATCTGAATGAGCAGCAGACAAGGTCTGCTCTAATTTGTCTTCTGCATACATGATTTCTATTATTCCTTTTAATGAACAGGCCTGAAAAAGTCAGGTTACCTTTGACTTGAAGGTGGTGCCAAGGCAACAAATAACTTACGCTTAAAGCACTGAACATGTAGTCTCTAAGGGCAAATGATGTAAGTGTTTTACCGCTGTTTTCACAGTGTGAAGCATGCCTTGTACGATTGCTGCAGAGTTCCATTAGTGAAAAAGAAACACCCACCGTTTGAGATACCTTATAAACGAAGCTTTCACAAAATGTTGGCAATTAAGACTCTCAAAGAAAAAAAACATCAAGAAATAACTGCAATTATTTCAATACAGAACAATACCGCAAAAACCTAATTATCCCAGCATCTTAAGATACACAGAGTGAACGTTAAAACTGGAGCAACCTCAGAATAAATTAAAATATTATAACCGGGTAAAGATTAACAAAGCAATCATAAAGTGCATGCACCTGGACTTATTTTATATTTCTATTGTCAGGATGTATAAGATGGTTTTGAACAAAGTTTCCAACTGTGCCTAGCAATAGAAAATGTTACATAATACAAATATGCTCAATGTACCGAAGTCGGTACCACACTTGTCACTTCCTGTTATGGACTGATAGCATATATAGAGTGTCCCACTGGAAGCTGTTTAATGTGTTTTCTGCATCCTGGGAGCTCCATGCTGCCTCAGGCTGACAGCAACAGGAACACTACCAAATTCACCCTACTGCTGTGATGAGAGCCCCTGGCTCAGCTTCCCATTAAAACAGCAGCTTTTCCTCGAAGATGCTCACATGGGACTGCAGCAGAGTGTTATGTTTCAGCAAAAATGCATGGCTACATGCTGTGAGGTAACAATGTCTGTGCAATAGCATAAACATTGAAGAACTTCAAACAGCAACAATGCTTTTTCTTTTCATTTATACTCAGCATATTGAACAGCTTAGTTTGTGGCAGATTTTAGTGAAAAAAATCAGGGTAAAAACATTACACTTTACAGTTCTGTAAGGCAGTTTTGTGATGGATGTGCAAGTTTAAAATCATGTCATGAACCTACCTTCACATACTGTCCAGCAAACTCTTTCACTTCGGCAGTAAAACAGCCTGATGCATCAACCGGACAGACTGGGGTAGAATCTTTTTGGATTATTTTGTAATCCATGCAAACTCTGTAGTCATCCTGTGGTGACAAAGTAGCAGTCACAAAACCCTGCTCAAGCCATTCAGTCAGTAATTCCAAACAAGAAACGCAAATGCAACAGTTATCTAAAAATCAAACTCCATTTCCTTTGATTTCAGGCTTCTCCTCCTTTTCAAATCTTGATCAAAGAAACTAATTTATGTTAGTTGGTTAGAGTTCTTTGAGCAATCACTTCTGAGTTAAATTTAAAGGATGTGGTTTATTTAAGTTTTACCCTTGCCCATAAATTACAGTTGCCTTTCTCATTTGTCTCGTAAAAAAGGGCTATTATTATTTTCTCTATTGAAGTCTTTTCCATTTTTTTTGGCCTAACTTAATGATTTCTCTACCTTACCTGTAGGAAAATAGAAAAAATCTCCAGTGTGCCAACGTTAGTATATAGATCTTAGAAAACTTCACCTTCTCAAGGAAATGAAATGTCTACTTTTTATAGATTATATCCTTGTGGTAACCATAAAAAAGGCGCCTCTTATAAATCTTTTCAATTGTATATGAAAAATAGCAAAACCTATATACAGCTCATGTTTTATCAGTACAAGATCTAACAAGATTTAATAAATGGACAACAGTTTGTAACCTGTATGGTCTATAAAAAAGGTACCTGACCATATACTGCAATACTCAGACTTCTATCAAACTCAAGCCTTGTTGACATCCTTTCTACTGACTCCCTCAAGTCTTTTGTAACTGAAAAGAAATACAGCACTATGGGTTCTCTCTCTTCTTTGGCAGACACATCAAAATATCACAGCTTCTAGGCACATAGGTGAAGATAATTCAGCTGTGTAGGAGGACACATTTCTCCTTCAGAAATGTAGGACAGGATTTTAATAGGATCCATCAAGAGACACAAAAATCTATAATGCAATCAAAGCCTCTCTTGGGTAAGTGTGGTCGCCCACACAACAAAATTATAGCTGCTCTTGTGAGCATATTCCTCTCCATGGCTCTGTACCTTTGTACAAAAATGATAGGACATCCAGCAGTACCACTGCCCTGTAATACTGGGGTTAATGACTTGTGCTGTTGCTTCTGTCATATGCCCTGTATGATGCCATGTGCCACAGTTGGGGTAGCAGCACTGAAGAGAGACACCAGACACCAGACAGGCTCACTGAGTGGTTTGGCACTGGCACTTGGTGCGCAAGAGGAAAAGAGGTAAAAGCCTGAGAAAATCAGGGCATTAAACTACACCCCTCCCCCTTGTCAGTGGTTTTGTGGTTGTGTATCTTTGGAACTATAAAATCAACCTCAATTGCCCTCTGTTAAGGCACAGACCTAAAAACTATTATTTTCACATACTTTGTACCATATGGAGCAGTACAACGTTTACAAATTTGACTTCAGAAATTCAGCTAACATGGATTTTGCTATAAGAATTCTGTAACTGACAATAAGTAACCCATACAGGGCATACTTTATTTAACCCTGGAACTGAAGAAACATACACGCTTAGGCAGGAAGAGTAGAAGACTTTTACTTACAGCCCCAAAATAAGGAGCCTGATGAACAACACCTGTACCTTCTTCTTCTTTGACATAGTTATCCAACACCACACTGAAGGCACCATTGTCTCTGCACTAAGAAGAGAAAATGATCAATTAAACATGAATACATTCTATAAATATGAGTTGTAGTCTCTGTTTACCATTTTGGACAAGGCTTCTCCCTGCTCACACCTAGTACTCTTGTTAAATAACTCCAGCCTTGGTCTTTCAGAGCAGCAGAAACAGATCTTGTTGTGATCAGGTCACACCAAAGTTAAAACTATACTGGCACTCTGTTAGGAAATACTAAATTCTCTTCACTGACATCACTGTATCCTTTCAGCATTATTTTTATGGGACTTTTCAAAATTCACGGTTATGGGTTTAAGACTACCGATTACTGGGATAGTATGGTGTGAACCTTGGAGATCGTGTTTGGTGAGGGAAATGGTTCTCTTTGGTGCTGTGGGGGGTTATGTTCTGAAATATCTGAAATCAGTAACTTGCTAACCAAGAACATGCCATTATTATCGAAAAGTGACTAAAAATAATAGTTAGCCTCGACCTTGTTTACGGGCCAAATGAGGCAAATTCTTAGTTTCACACTTATCAGACCTGATGACTTTCACAGGTGACTGCCAAGCGAGACTGATGCAAAACCTTTTTCTGGAGGAAACTTTCTGATCTTCCTTTATCGATTGACCGAGTCTTAATAATTTCTGTATTTTCTGTATATCAGATCACTATGAAACACACAGAAAGACACCTGCCATGGGTATACGCACCTTTATAAAATAGTCAAAGAGTGGTTTGTACTTTTTGCCTTTCAAGGCCTTGCCAGGGAACCTGTAACAACATACACACACATTTTAACAAGGTCACAGCCTTGAGTTTTACTGTACTGCATTAGAAAATATGAACTGAAAAATGTGCCCCCCATTCTGGATAAGGTATCCAGAAATCTACCTCATTCCAGCACTGTGCCTGGTGAACATTCATTGCAATGGGACATTAACATGTTGCCCACACATCTCTCCAGAGCTACAGCCAAGTCACTGGGCTGTGTAATGCGTTCTGTCTCACGTCATTCTCATATAATGCAGATTTGATAACTTGGTTACTTTGCTGCTCATGCTCTGTTTATTCACCGATACGAACCATTTTCACTCCTAAAGACACATATTTCAGCATGACGGAAGGAAAATTATGGTTGTTTATTACAAAAGTTCTGAATATGCAAAACAAATTGGTTTGAATTTCCAACTATTACAGCTGAAATAAACAGCTGAAATTACAGCTGAAATAAACAAAAACTAAAAACTGGTTGAATTTATGAGATTTGGTTATAAATTAAAAACATCTATATAACACAACATTTTCTTTAAGTTTTACTTTCATGCCATAATAAAGAATAAGGTGACAATGCTAAGCACCTCGCAAAATACTGAATATTGCAACGGGGTATTTTTAAAGCAAACAAGAGGAATTAAAGTGATGCAAAATAATAACATCACTCCAATAAACAGCAGCGCTTATGTCTGTCACAAATGTACATTAGCGCTAAGGCAAAGCTACAAATTGGTTAATTACCAAGCTGAAATGTAATCCATCCATTAGTTTACCCAGGGTCAAACAACTTATTTCCTTTTTTTTTAAATGGACGTCAGAAGCAAGTATGGTATAAACATTTCTAATTGTCAAAGTAATTATATCCATCCTTCTTCCAAAGCAATGTCACCTTCTTCACTCCCATACAGACTGTGTGCAGGTTTGGCCAGTACACTACTGAAAAGATACTGCTGCTGGGGAACCCATCTAGGTGCATATTCATGGGGTTAAGGGAATGTCCTCGATTGACAGGCTGAAAGAACTGAACCTTTTTAGTCTTGAACAGAGAAGGCTATAAGGCCAACCAGCGAAATGCAGAAACCTAAGGACACAAGTGCGACTATGTGGAAATATATTTAAAACAAGGTTTTGGGGGCTATGGAACAAGATACCCAGCAAGAGGACATGGGGAGAGAACCACAGGAAGTGCTTTGTGTATATGAGTCCATTAAGGTGCTGCCTGGTTTGTGGGCTAGGCACCACAGATAAGGCATGACTTACATCTCGGCAGAGGCTCCGACTGCAACTGGCTTTGACCTGCACTGAGCAGGTCGAACCCGGTCCGTATAACGCATGATTTTAAACCCCTGCAATAAAGGCTTGGAACCTGCCAAAGTCTCACCCAGCAGACACAGAGCACGAGTCGGGACCGCACCCCCGGACGGCACATCAGTCCCGGTCACGTTTTTGGAAGGGTGAAGCAAAGCCAAGCACTGAGAGGAAACTCAAGAAAATGGGGAGAACATGTACCTCCACCCAGAATGGGAGCCATTACCCCAGTGCCAGCCACCACACTCCCAGGACAAAGGCAGGACTTTTAATATGGTGATACCGAACTCCACAGTAACACAATAACTAGTCAATTTTCTGTTTATCCTCCTTTAAACAGCTGGCCTAGTTCACAATCCACAGAAAAAAAAATATTTCTCCCCAAGTACAAGACCTCGAGGGTTTTTAAGAAGACTACACGCACTCACTTCTCGAGAACGGTGTATTCACTCTCAGACTTGTAATGCGCTCCTAGCCTGGCTTCCATCATGATGTAAGCCTTTTCAGTAGCGTGATCTGAAATTAAAAAAAAAAATTAAAAGATTAGGCCAATTGAAATCATTACAAAACAGTGCAATTGCCAGAGGAAGATAAGGTAAGAATTATACAACCCAAAGAACGCCATCTGTTCAAAACCTTGGACATTCAGGACAATCTTGCATTTAGACAGCAGGCAGTTTGCCAATTGTTTCTTTATAATGAGCCCATTAGTTATCCCAGGCAGTTCAATCTTTTATTTGGCTAACCTCCTATATCCGATCATAAAGCATTTTTTTTCTTCCTAAACAAAAGTAAAACTTAATGCCCAACAACAGAAGGAAGATGACATTTATCTGGGCACGATGTTTATATGCAGCATCACAGAAAAGGGGAACTTTTTCTTTACAATTGACTAATATACAAAAATAGCTAGAAGCATTGCTTGTGCCACTTAAAACATGAGGGGGCATATTCAACAGAACTAAATTAAGGAGCAGGGGATAAAAATAAGCCCACATGTGAATCATAATTCCAATAATATTTCTTTAACAGTAAGGTAGTGTAAATATAGATTTTGACTTCCTCGCATTCTGCAGATACATTACTTTAATGCTTTGACTGCCAAGTGATGTGCACTGATAGGAGCAATGCACAACACTAGCACAATCTGCATTTGTATTCTGGTTCTCTCTCCCTGCAGTATGCCAGTCCGGGGATAGAGACTGTACAGCTTAACAGCCCCACCTACTGGCAAATACAGATCATGTCACTAATAAAACCAGGTCAACAACGGAGCCTCAGCTCTCAGGGAGAAAGATACTCACAATACCACCTTGACTTGGGTGTCATGTTATACTGGCCTTTTGTAGTGACTGTTTTGAACAATCTCCTTTTCTCTCCTAAAACTACTGCCTTACTTGTGATCAATTATTGTACAAGTGTGGCAAATGCTGTACATGTTAGATTGGATATTTAAAATGGTTGCCATTCAATCGTTCACAAGACAGGTACAGATGCATTATTTTATGCTTTCATTGTATTCTATAAATAAAAACAGTGTTTCTTCGCCAATTTACTCTGTAGAATAAAGCTGGTTTGCCCACTGTCAAAATGGATCTAGCGTGTCACCTGTCTCCCCAGATTGTACAAGTAAACACACAACTGAAAGGATAAAATTAAGTACCGAAAATTATTTAAAGATTCATTCATAGATGCATACATACAGGCTACTGAGAGTGCATTTCACTTGCAGGACTTTAAATAGTTTTATTCTGCCATGTTTCTGCAAAAATTAATGACTCTTAATTATCTCAAAGTAACACATGCAACAACATCCCTAAAATAATTTCTACAATAATTAGTGCAATTCCAATATACTTAAAACCTTATGCTTCTCACGTGTTTCCTGACTGTTAGGGATCTGCAAGTATTTCCTTTGTATCCATAATTCCAAGTCACCTATGGTGGAATATCGTAGCATGCCACTGTGCCCACTGTACGAGCACAAGGGAATAAAAAAAAAGGCTGAAATTGCTCTCTACTGCCACCTGCTGCCAGCCCCCAAAACCCATTAACAAGCTGTGAGCTCCATGGTGCATTACAGGAAATACAGCTCTTCACAGGAGCAGAGCATCCGTCCCTGAAGGTCACAGGCGCACTGTAAGTGCCAGCGAGGAGGTGGATCACTGTGGAGCAGCCAGCCTAGGACACCTTAGGCTACTCACGCACCACCCAGTTAATTAAATCAATCATGTCTGTAAGACAGGACTCAACTTCCACTTGAGCACCTTTACAACTTAAGACTGTTTCATAACTCCCTGTTAGGCTAATCAAATGCCTCCTTTCTCAGTGAAAGGCCCAAGCCGCCCGAGGCTAGCCAGGTTGGAGTCAGATTGCTTGAGTTGCTTTTACAATTGAAAAACAAGCCACCCAATGTCACATAACCATGTAGGTGGGGGAGACAGTGCCCGGCCAACTAAACCCAAAAATAGTGTACATAAAGCCTCTGAATCTGCTTGTTTCTGGTAGTTCAGAGTGCTGGAGCATTTCTCATTATTGTTCCATATTAATTATCTCATCATTCCTCACCTGTTGTTGTTGTTCTGAACAACAATCGTGCAGTTTTGTATATACAGTATGTATATTTTATGGTATATCTGCCTTTCAAACACATGATAATTAAAAAATGACTCATTCAAAGTAGACTTCTGACTGATGCTGCATCATCTCGATCTAGACTGACATTTTTTTGCTGACTTGACTTGTTGCAGTAAAACTGCAGAACAAAATAACCTAAAGTGAAGCATCATTTTCTGCGCCTCTGTAAAAATATTCACAGAACATTCATCTTACAATACAGATGTATTACATGCTCAGAGTAAATGATTACTCGTGTTTATGTGTATTGTAGTAGGCTCCACAGCCGAAACACTGTTCTTTTCCTTTCAGCATGGAATAAACCTTTACCTGTTCATCTGAACATTTTCTACATATTGAGCTGTTGCCATTCTGGGATCGGTGATGTTTTGTACCAACACACCTGACCCATGGATATACTCTATACCAATTAAGGATCTGGTTGGCTCGAATCATGAAATTCACAGAAGTCGCCCAAACAAATCAAATTAACTTTTTATCTTAGGTTTACTCTGTTAAAGACTATAAATTCAAAACTGGAATTAAAGCCACATCCTGGACAATATTCTAATGCCAGTTACTGTATATATGCTTCTATGAAAACTGATTCAAGTTTGCTGTAACTACTGAAAATGAGAGTAAACAGAATAGAACACATTACAACAATTATATGATCTCACATTTTACACGAAATGGGTATAACCGAGCACATTTCCTGTGCACGCAACAATACAGATCCTTCAATCAGATTTATAAACAATCTTGCACTGCATGTAGCAACAATAACAGGAAACTATAAAAGTCTTTTGTTCTGGTTGTGTGATTAATAAAATGTTGGGATGAGTAACCATACGCATTACATGCTTCAGTCTCATGCCAGACTCATGTATGTTACAAGGCTGGAGTTTTATGATTCGAGCCAGGCAGATCCTCGATTGATGTAAATCCATGGGTCAAGTGTATTGGTATAAGATAGCAATGATGCCAGAAGTGACAACAACTCAATATGCAGAATATGTACAGATCATAATATACATAAGCATGACTAATCATGTACAGACTGAGCATGTAATGCATCTGTATTGTGAGATGAATCTGAAAAGAACACAAAAAAAACATTTTTAAATATACAGCACGTAACAGCTCAGTTTCCTTCAACCTGTTGCTGCAGTGTTGCAAAATTACCTTTTATTTTGACATATGTTAACTCTGGGTTCACACAAAGGGCAAGATTACTGGGCAGTGTCCAAGGGGTGGTTGTCCAGGCAATTAGAGAAACACTTTCATCTTCTTCCAGCGGGAAGTTGACAGTTACTGAAGGATCTTGGACATCCTAAAAGGAAAAATATTGCGACAGTGCAAATAACTGGATTCAACAGAGAAGCAGGTAGCTGTAGAGCACTAAGCCTAACCATCATTATCAAGGCTTTTTTACTCCAAGCGCAATACAGTTTTCACAGAATATAATGATACATCTGCAGTAATATCTAATATTCCTACTGGAAGCAATACAGATACAATGAAAAGGAAGTGCACAAGGAGCGAAAATACTATCTCTACAAAAATAATATTTTTCATATTAGGGCATCATTCTCAGCTGGGGCTACTGAATTAAAAACGTTTCACCTCATGCTACAGTATGCTGCTCTCATCACCCATGGGCCGTTACAAAAGTTCTACCAGCAGTCACTCGACATTGGCACAGAACCCATTGACTAGAAAGCTGCTGATGTAATACTCATCTATACGAAAGGTGATTACACTAAAGCAAATTATTTTTAATCGCTCAGTCATACCTTCAACTACTTGCACAGCAAGACTATGGAAATGATCATTAAACCTAGAGGATTATAAGTATAGAACTAGGTTTTCAAAGTGTTCTGAATACAGCAGCAACACTTGTTAATTTATTAAATCCAAGTGTTTTGCAGCACTTGGGTAAAAAGCATTGTTGCTTTCTCGTGCATACAGTTGTGAGATGACAATGCTAAATACTTACACCTATAGTTGTGTAGTACAACATTGAGAAATGGTACTTTCGAAAGCTAAATGGAACCAGATTTTGCCAAAGTTCTGAAAAATGTCTTGTAGGTGGCAAAACGGTGTTGCCTCACAGCAATGTGAAGAGTGTGGGAAAGTGGAAGTGAATTGCATTTTGTTTCGCATCACCCCTGCGTCAGTTCAGGGTCAGTGCAGCCACATCTCGTCGTGCAAGGTGAGATTTATTGTTTAAAAGTGCGGATTGTACTTCTAAATTCTCTGCTTGTATTTGCATCATGCCCAGTGTGAATAGAGCTTTATATGTAGGGAGACAGACAGTTGTAGACAGTTTCTGTTACAAAAGTACATCCCATGTGGGTTGTCATGCACTCTGATCAACAAGGGAAAACACAAAATTGGTTTGCTGTACCTTGTAATTCTGATGTGACTCAAAGTTGGACAGGGGCGTGTTGCATGCAGTTGAAAAGGGCATGACCTTCACTCCCCTGTACACCAGTCCTTTGTCATACAATTGCTTGAAGACCCACCTGAAATAGAACCCCATGACGCATATGAAATGTGGGATTTTCACAGGAGAGTTACACATTTGCCGTGGTAACCTAACTGCAGCAGACAGAAATATGGTACTTCCAAGTAAAGAGGGCAACAATAAATTCAAGTGACATGCACAAAACATTATTTGGTTATTCCAATACACTGTAAATTAAAATAATGTTTTTCAATTAGTTTGGAATTTCTCCTCATTTGTTTCTGCCATATTTCTATACTATGTTTGCTTAGTACACCCATCTGACAACTTAAAAGCTCACAAAAAATTAGATCTATCACGGCAGAATACCTAACATATTGATCAATTGGGTCCATCTTCATGGTCTTAAAAAAAATAGATTTAGTTGATTTCCAAAATATCTGGAATACCAAAATTAAGCTGATCACCAAAGACATACATTCCACACGACACACCTTATCAAAAAACCATGTGGTATTCACTAAATATTTATTATTTTCAATATGCCAATTTCTAAGATTAACTTGAAAACTGGGATCTAGTATGATCACAAAATGATCACACTTACATTTCTGGTTTTGGAACATTACAAGGGACAGATACATTTAAGTAATGGAACAAGTAATAGGCTTATTCCATCCCAAAAACAACGTTGTGTTTCCTTTCTTCTGTTTTCAGCGTGGAGTAAACCTATTACTTGTTCCTTTGCGGCCTACACATGCTGACGCAGCTCCCCACCTGAACCACTAAATTTGAGTAATACCCATCAATAGTTACCTTCACACTAACAGACTTTTTCCTTCAATGCAATCATGAGAATGTTAGGTTATTGTACAATATACCCATCTAGTAAAGAGCTTCCCCAATGCACTGGCTGTTTTTCCACTATTATTACAAAATACAACACCACAGTTGGATATTAATACAAGTAAGGCATTTTTTTTCCAATTCAAACAAGTGTCTTCTCATTTTCTTTACAAAATCCAGAAATCTGTGATTACAACCAACTCAAGCTTGTAAGCTCCCATTCTTAATATTTTAAATGGAATGCACCACAAATGTGTGTGAATTTGCTGAAAATGGAACAACAAATATATGTAGGTTTCTTTTATAGGACTAATTTTACATTTTTCCCCAAACTGTAGAAACTAGATATCAGATATTAAACATTGTTAATAGTGAACAAATTAAAACTTCAGAATTACTGTATTAGTTAATAACATCACTATATAGGCATCAGTCAATGTCATTAGGTTATAAACTAAGAAAGCAGTTACCAACACACTATTCTTACACAATCAGACAAGTTAAAAAAAATCAATTAAAGGCACAGCAACACCTGAACTGAAAATTGTGGTATGTTCGAATCTGGTAAGATCTGGTTTTACATTATTCACTTGCACATAACTAAGACATGCTAAACAATTGCTTTGTTTTTCCATAACCGCCTCAAATACACCCCAGGACACACTGTGAGGTTTCTTAATTGATAATCAATATTACAGTAAATTCTGGGCCTATCTAAAAAAAAACCTACGAAACCTGTCAGAACTGAGCCAATAACAAAATGAATTCAAATGACAATGGGCACCCATAATTCAAGGAGATGGTTCACTTACCAAACAGTTTCCATGAACCAGGGATACAGAGTCTTGTAATCATTCTTAAAATCAATCCAGCGTCCCATTCTTCTTACAGACACCTGATGTACAATGATGTACAGGAGCAAAGGAACAGTTTTAGTGAGTATCAGCATTATACGTTTATATACAATGAAAACTATTTTAAAATACTCCTCATTTCTGCGCAAAACTACATTCATATCTATCACTCTGGGCACATGGTGCTCAAATTTGTGTCTTAAAAAGCCACATAACAGCACACTACCTAACATAAAATAACGCATGTCAAGTGTACATGAAAACGTCAACTTTACATTTGAAACAAGTTCTTACTTGGAACGTGTAGAAAAGGCTGTCTTCAACTTCACCACAAAACACAATGTATGCAGGTATGTAAGCATATCATTGCCAGCTGAGTGGTTCAATCACACAAAAAGTATATATAAAATAAAAATAAAAGCATGCAAAACCTCCAGTGAATTTGCCAAAACTATATCAATTCTAATACACCCTCTACATAAGCAAAAAAGGCAATTATTAAGTAAGCAAAGAATAAAAACATACTTACTTCCCATTCATTTGCATATCTCATCACAATGCCTCGACACTGTTTATTGTACTCTGCAATCCCCATCTTGGCAACATCTTCTGGTCCCTTGATTCCCAAAGTTTTATCTATCTCATATTCCTAAAATACAACACGCATGGACTGAGTTCAGCAAGATCCAAAATCATGGAAGAATTAAAAACATCTTACCCACACAACTTTAACGGCTAAAAGCTGATGTTTTGGGACAACACAGAGCAAAACTAACAGCAAAGCAAAAGTCACACAGGATGAAAAATAATGTCTGTGGAAAGACCAAAGAGAAAACAGGCATCTTCATTTCTGCTCCATGAAAAGCTGTATTTTGAATTCTATAACACCCAGCATCTATTAGAGCTGTGGTTAGCATCATTTAATGGCCCAAGTTAGGTTGCAGACAAAACAAGTTAAAAGAATTTCACTACCACTATATTCATACCACAGTGGACCAGAAAACCACGGAAATCAAACTTTCCTGTTAGACCAGAAACGTCCAATCCTGCTCCTTGGAGGAAATGTAGTATTTTATGTTTAAACTTCACCTTATTGTGTTTGTTACTGTTCTATAATAAAATCACAATTTTATAGCACAAACTGACTTTCGTGTCTTGCTCACCCAACATCACAGTGGTTTAAGACCATTACAATACCACATGATTAAATATTATTAAAAAATAATAGATTTTTATCATTTCACTGTCACATTTAATAAAACACTGTATACTGTACATGCACATATAAAAGTCTTCTTACCACAGGCAACCCATGACAGTCCCACCCAAATCTCCTTTCCACTTGAAATCCACTCTGGTGTGCAAATCTGGTCACAATGTCCTTAATAGTGCCTGCTAAAATGTGTCCATAATGCGGGAGTCCAGTGGCAAATGGAGGCCCATCATAGAAAGTAAATCTGTAAGTTCGACAAGAATTCAATTTCACAGGCTCAGACTGCACATCCATTCCGCATGTTTTGAATTTTGTATATTTTATTGCCCCTTTTTTTAAAATGATCTAAAAGCTAAAGCTGGCTGGTTGTGCTGATATGCTTCTTGACTGGGACACTCTGGGACCAAGAAACAATAAGGGACTGTATCAGTGGGACACAAAGCAATCATTAACCCAATACTAAATAGAGAAATGTCCTCAATATTTTCATACTTCACACACTTTCAAAGATGCGGGAGCCTAAAATAAATTGATTTGACATAATGTGAATGTTTTAGAGGATATCTTTGATAAACGGATGCAACAGCTTTGTGTCCATAAGAGTGTCAGAACGTGTGGCAAGACTACAGGGCCTTCCCATCAGTCACTGGAGAAACAAACTTGCGTTCTGACATTTTAGTTACGTAAACAACCTCTGTGTTGATTGTCAAAACCTTCAAAAGTTGTCATAAAAAAATCAAGAAAACATATTTCGCCATACTAGCATCTGAAACGATTCTTTGTTCAATATTGTCTATTTTAAATAACTCTGGAGGTTACATGAAGCAGGAGTTTGGACTGTAAGTAAAAGCCAAAGATATAAGCCTGACATCTCAAAATAAACCTTACCTCCAATTTGTAGAGAACAGCTCATTGTTTATCAAGGTAGTTTGACAACACAGCAAGTAGACAAGAATTTGAACAGTTATTTCTGTCATGTATTATGGATTATACAACTCCACTCTAAGCAGGTGTACTCATATTTATGGATATTAAGCACCTTTAAAATATGACGTGCAGTTACGTATCTCCCCTGCTTTCTGGCATGTAGACCTTGCAATACTGCACTAAGAGTTATGGGCAGATACCAAGACTACGCCCATCCTTGATGGGTACAGCACATTAGATTAAGATGCAATCTACGATGTTTGAGAACCACAGCTTTAAAGCACTGTGACAGCAATCCAAGTGAAGTAAAGCAGAACATCAGAGGCTTTGATTCAACACACACTGGAAAAGAAATCAGTTAAATGTCACCCATTTGTGTAAGGATAATAATAGCTCATCAATAAAGGCTTTTCATTTATTTTTCATTTTCCTGTAGTGGCACTGTACTTACTTCGGTCTGTTCTTTGACTGCTTGAGGCACTCCTGAAAACAGTTCTTATCTTTCCACAGTTGAAGGATATGTTCCTCTTCGGAGGGAAAATGAATGGATTCTGGGACTGCCTCAACCATCCTGCCTGAGAACACATAACATCATTTTAGCTCTGGATTACACAAGCGATATTAAGCTTTGATTTATTAAAAAACACAGCTGGATAGCCATTGCATAAACATTATTTAATAAAAGCTAAAATACATAAAGAAAGAATGCAAACCAAAAGAAAGGAGTAAAATGCAATACAGATCCATTATGCTCATTTGTTTGCTTATTGATAATAATTCTGTCAAGTGCTCTGTTGTAATTTAATGCAAAAGGTAGTGTAACAGACAATGATTGACCCTTTTAATGAATTAGGAAGGACGCAGAACAGCTGTTACCAAGTGTAATTCTAAAAGTGCAAATGAAAATGCTGGACGATAAAAAGAAAATTACTTTCCGGTGTTTGGCACTTGTGCCCCCAAATCTTTTTACCCTGAAATGCTTGTGTTGCAACTACAAGTTAAAAAAGAACTAGATCCCATCATTTGAAAGCTGCAACGTTATTAACTTAAGTAACACCCTATTCTCCCAGCAGGGCTGATCGGTTTCGAGTAAGCACTTGAGGATCACTCGGGACTGGAGAAGGGTCTGTGCATCTCAGGAGACAGGTGTTAGTTTTTCCTTCTTGACTCGAGGAAAGGGTTCAGGGTTTGAATGTGTCTCCCTTACGACTGCAAGACTTCAACAAGCCCAGCCCATGAAGAAAACAACTGCAACCCGCTGAACTGAAAAAACAACGTCTAATAACAGAACTCCAACCCAAAAGCCCTGCTACCCAGCGTCTCTATCTCCAAACGCCAAATCCTCCCCGCCTCGTACACAAACACCAATTTTCAACAGAGGAAACTGAATCACGGAAGTTACGAATTAACAGATTCATTTTCTTGCATATTCAATGCTCATTGATCATTCACTCTTGCGAACGTATTTCACTTTACATTTAAGGTCTTGTATTTTATGTCTTTAAACATAGTGGTTTTTTTCCTCAACCATGTTTTTAAAAAGAAAGAAATGTTGTTTTTTTGCCTGAAGAACTTCTTTAAATGTTTCCACAACACGACATCTTTTAAACTACCTTTCATCAATCAAGGTCTTGCTTTATAAATTATGACATGCTGACAAACCATTCATACTGTAGCTGAGTTGCAGTAACAGTCTGTCCATGCATTTCACACAAAACTAGAAACAAACATCAAGAGGTTTATGAAATTAAGTCAACGCTGCATCACAAAACACTTCCAGTAATGTCAGGAGTTTTATTGTGAAAGGAGAAAAAACTCACATGCACTGTATGTCACCCAGAGAAGCAACGACAACCGGTTCCTGAAAAATGATGCAACTGGACGAAAGCATGAAAGGAAATGAGGCTACGTCATGAGGTCACAAGTATTCTACTTCCGCCAGACGTCGCCCGAAGGACTGTGGGAGACAGAAATAGAAATTTAGGGAACTGGTATGGTATTTTGTACACCATTTTAATTTAAGTGATCTAATTTGGGGAGCTCTGTTTTGAGTTGTCAAGATGGCTACCGTTAATGAGACATTTTAAATCGCATAATAGTTTCTATCTGCACGAGAAAATCTCATGTAAACATGACAAAACGAGTTGGACAAAACAATGTGCACTAAATATTACGAAAATAATTAATAGAATAACACCCAATATATGATTTTCCTGAAGACACGCAAATAATAGATATATTAATATTACATTAATTATTTTATTAACAACCTATCAGACAGCAAAAGTAAACTTCGCCACACCTTACAAATTATATGAATATCTCTGGTGTAAGGAATTCGTCGAGAAAAAACGAAAAGCACATTTAAAAGCAAAGCTACCAATTACCTGTAAAGCTGTACACAAGTAGATTTATGACTTTTTATCCCCACAAGGTGGCGCAGCATATTATTAAAATGATGTAAAAATGTCTTCACCGTAGTAGAGGAATTTGTTCTAGAACAGCGCTGATCAGCCTCTAAAAATAAAGGCGTTTTCATTGGAATTTGAAGCTGACTTTTATTGCTGTGATGAATATGTTCTATTTAATGAATATCTAATAGTTTTATTCTCTGACTTATCTTTTCAAATAATCGCCTCTTAGAGACAGCTGGGTGTAGTCCTCAGGTTAGCATGAAGTAACCGAACGAGCTGGGTGGGGTGGAATGGCCTCATGTTTTCAACCCTTTCCTGTGTTCTTAAAACAACAGACCATGGCTACAATTACCATTTCACAGGGATTTCAACACACATTTTGGAAGATTGTTCCGTCCATTTGCCATTTAAGAAACTACAACCATCTCGGACAGCCGTCTTGAGTATCCACACTCGGCTTATATTGCACCTGTCTACTCATTTACTTTTCCTTAATTTAGCCTACAAGATCCTGACACTGAGTTTTTAGTCTTTATCTAGTTTCTTTAATTATTAAACAGATGAACAGTGAAGGAGCCTCTCATAAAATCTCCTGCTGTCCTCGACCCTGTAGCACACACAAATCAACTTGTGTTGTATTTATAAGATAAGATCACTTTATTGGCCATATACAATTTCTTGTATTATGAATTTGTCTTTTCGCATACCCCAACTTGCTCTCCATGAGACACACAGACAGGGAGAGAAGCTTGGGGTCAGAGCACAGGGTCAGCCATTTATATGGCGCCCCTGGAGTGGTTGGGGACTTGCTCAGGGGCCCAACAGAGTAGGATTTCTCTGCCGGCTGCGGGATACGAACCGGAAACCTTCCAGCCACAGGTCCTTAGCCACAGAGCCACTTACAACCTAATCAAAGAATGTATCCTGACATGGGTGAGAAGCAAGCAACAGTGGTGGATGATACGATACGGTACTTGAAAGATGCATTGATAATGCAGACTACAGGCAATTAAGCTCTTGTTCTCTTTGAGATGTGTTTAAATTTTAGTAAACATTCCTTAAGATTCAGCTAGCAAAACTGTAGGTGTATACATACTGAAAGTACAATGTACATAGATTATGTTAGGTTCACGTTGGGCATGTTCATACATGCATAAATACATCATACAAAACATGAAAAACAGGCATCTTGTTTTAGAATAAAACTCCTTATAACTTCTGTACAGCACTCGGACGTGTTTTATTTTCACTGTTGTAGTGTATCTTTAGGTGTTTTAATTTATTTGACTGTTTAAGAAAAAGGCAAATATTTGGTCGGACTTTGCTCCAGAAAGGAACCTCTCAGGTATCTGTTAGCTCTTTGAGCTGTCCTAAGAAAGTGTATACACAATATACACAAGTTTTTATTTACTGTAAAGAACTTCTGCAGCCCCAAAACAGGAGGCCATTTTTATTTTTACGAATATATTTATAGTGTATTAGTTATATAAAATTGTACAGAGGCTCTTTTAATTAGCAAATGAATCAAGTAATATGAGTGAAGGAGATATTTTACACAGATAAAAATATTTATCAGAAAAAAAGGAGGGACTTTAACAGCAGTAATACACCTTATGAAGAAACATGCTTGTGAAGCATAAATTCTGCATTCATATTCAGAAATGAGTCTCTAACACGGGCAGTAGGTGTTGTAGATTTTATTTGTTTAATGCTACATACTGTTTTATGAGATGTTAGCTCATCGTGGCTTTATTTTAATATATTAATTACAACTAATTGTGCAATTTGTTCCACTATACTTTATCATCTGAACTAAAAAGCTCTGAATGTGTGAATTAGAGACCCTCCAATTAATCCACATATTTATTTCTTCCCCAATCTGTTACAACAATCTTGTTTATTAAATTGACCACATCCTGCAATTTAAACTATTATGAGCATGTGATACAATGTAAGGGAACAATAGGTTTATTCCATGCTGAAAAGAGAAGAAAGGAAACACAATGTTTCAGCTGTGGAGCCTTCTTGGGTCATAAAATTTATTTTGGTAGAAAAATAAGTGTATAGTATATTGCATATGAAATAACACTTTCACACTATGGGTGCCTAGGTATTTATAAAGACATGTCACTACTCTACAAAGTTCCTGATTTAACTTAATTTTTTTTGTTACGGTGTGGCCTTTTTCATAAGGACATAAGAAAGGTTACAAATGGGATGAGGTGCCTGTGTAGCTCATTCATTTGCAAGCAGCCATTTTTTTAAAAGACGTCTGCTTATCAGCTTCAAAACCATGGCTGAATAGTTTGTTCCACACACCCACAAACCCTACAACCTTTTGTAAAAAAAAAAAGCTTCCTGTTTTCAGTCTGAACTGCACTTCCCAGTAGTTTCCACTTCTATTCTCTGGTTCATATTTCATTACTGGGTCTGAAGAAGTCATTGGGTTGAATTTGTCAGTGCCCACCTCTGTTTGAGACTAAAATGATCTCTTCTCAGGAAACTGACAGATAAATGTTGTATGGCATAGAATAAAGACATTCTTTGTTCTCCACCCACATTTGAACAATTACATAATAGTAGTATTAATATCACTTCACATTTGAGCAAAGTGCAAACGTCTTAACAGATTATGCTTGTCGATGTAAAACCACAGGACAGGTATTATGACGTATATATCGGTATGCATCCCACAAGAGTCAAAACGCAATACAATCAGTTATGACTAAAGTGGTCAAGTCTTAGAATGCACTTGAGCTGAAATGTGAGAAATCTGGGAGCCTCACATGTAGCAGCACGATTGACCGCACACTTAACACGGAAACAAAACAGGCATTACTTAGCACCCGGCTTCAAGCGCAAACAGGGAATAAAAAATGCAAACACACAGAAAAACAGACTAAAATCCCACCACTGAAGCCCTGGGTCTCAGTATAGCTCGGATGTGGAACAGCTGCTCAAAGTGACACGCTTCATTGTGATCACACCCACAAATTGAATACAAATGCTGAACGAACACACATTTTTAGTTTCCAAAAACAACACTTTAAGACCATGTTACACTTAATACGTGAATAATGTACATTGTTCCTTGGCTATTGGAGTGTGCTCTCTGAAAGAGCTACTTTTTCAAAATTGAGAGTAAGTTAGTGCTTTGTTTTTATTTCCAAGAGTATATATATTTCATAATGTTGTGGAGAAGCCTCGAAAAGTCTATATGGGGCTGGCCAATCCTTGAGGTGTATATTTTCTATTAAATAACACCAAAGTAATCTCGTACCAGGTAAAGAAATGTAAATGGTGGAGAAAAAAAAACATTCCCCTCAGGGTAGGCCGAGTCGTGATAAATTAGTGATGTACTGTACCATATGTCCGAGAAAACTCGGACGAGACGCACATGTTTTGCACGTACGCAATAGACAAACACTGTTCAGTCCCCCAGTAGTTATTGTTGATCATAAAAATGATCAGACGGATAATTTTGAAAGTTATCACTATCCCACGAATCCAACATGAGACATTTCTATGAATTAATCTGTACCGTAAAACTTACTTTCTATAAAACTGCCCCACTTACAAGTCATCTCCATTTTAATACATTAGGACTTTTAACAAAATACTTCAGACGGTGGAAATGCATGCTATATTGCACACTATGGGAAATAACAGAGCACACGTTTTCGTGCTTAAAAATAGTATTAAAGTATACATATCCTGGCAGTTTAGCTTAAGTCTCTAATACGATAATAATTCCCGGAATGGACCATTTTTAATTAGGAAAGCGTCACTGTAAAACAATTTTGTGCTTTCTGTATAAGCAACGACATAGTAACGCTGCAGTTGTAAAACATTCAACAATTAGTGATAAGTACAGAAAACTGTTTACAGAAACGCTGGGACTTCCGCGTGTAAATTTTGAACGCATAAAAAACACAGTTGTCGCACCCCCCTTGCCTGTGTAGAAAATAGGTTTCATCCTGATGTTATTTTCTCTGTAAGGTTTGTTACACTATTCTTGAACTATTTTACGCTTTTCCTGCAAAGCTCTTTCACGGTGCGTTCTGACAGTTACGCAAAGAAAAGAAGATTGGCGTTAAGCTCTTCACAGCGTTTTAACCGCAACAAGCTAAACCACTCCTAAATCGGGAAGAAATGTTAACGTTTTTTGTGAAATCATGCTTCAGTATATAGAACTAAAACACAAGTGTTCGTAATTTCAGAAAATACGGTACAGCATTCAATAGTATGTGTATGTTATTATTAAAATAATCAGGGAAGTCTATGAATTAGTTAAAATAAAAACCTACCTCCCCCTCTGTCCACGTTGATTTGAGCTGATCCACGTCCATAAATACCAGCGTCTGGGGCCCACAGCGAAGGTTGTTAACTGTTAGTTAGTGTGGTTGGCTGTGGTGCTAGGGGGAGAGAACATGTATGAATTTTAATAGTAACAACTACTGAAAACAACTTAGGTTGTTTCACGTGTGGTCTGGTAAACATTGAAAACATTAACCCCTTGACTTTGGACATATCTTTAAGGGGAAGAAAGAGCTAACCATTAGGAAGGGGAAAAAAGAGGTGTGACTGTCAACCTTAATAGACAGCCGGGAGCGGGTCAAGCTGTCTGCAAGGCAGGTATACCACCAGGCTATGTACTGTCAAAAGCCCGTGGTAAAGATAAAATCAGAAAAAATCGTGAAAAGGTAGACTAACAGGGGATAGCGGTGTGGTTAAGCACAGGGAGGAAGATAAAACAGAGAAACCGATTCTTTGTTTCCAGACAGCTGCCCGCAGCTGTGAAGACTATGTGAAGGAGGAGACGGCAGGTTATGTTTTTCGAAGAGGGGAACATGTGCGGGAAGGGCCTGATGTGCCAGTGGCGGGTGTTGGGCGGCCGGGCCGACAGCCACGCCGAGAAAAGTCAAGCGAAGCTCGGGGACTCCAGGAGAGCAAGCGGCAGGCATCGCTGGCACAAGAGCGGGAGGAGGCCGAGTTACCAGGGGAGGAGGGGCAGGGCGCCCGGGCACCCCCAGCGCTACCGCAGGAAGGGCCGGCCAGCCCCCTGGCCCCCGGGCGCGGTGTCGTTACGCCCGGTCAACGTGAAGGGCAACAGGGCGCCGGGCATGAGGGCCCCCCGGAACACTAACCAGTTCTTAATGCACGAGAAGTACCAGCTGCTGCACATGCGGTCCGACTCGGTCGGCACGGACAGCGGGTCCGATTGCGAGGTGGACTTCACGGACATGGACTCCTATCTGGGCGTGCTGGAGAACGCCCGGGGCGCGCTGATGGACAGCCCGGACCCGTCGCCGCCTCCTTCGGCCAGGTTGTCCCCCCGGCAGCCGGCCAAGCGCCAGCAGCGCCCGTTCTTCGGCTTTGGTGACATTCACCAGGAAGAGAGCATGCAGTACTTCCCTTCCGAGGACGACGTGCTGCAGAGTGAGGACTTCATGCAGAAGGATTTCATCGAGTTCTTTAACGCGGTTTCCTAGCGCTGTCTGCTGAGGAGGGGACTGATGGGCAACATGTCCTGTCCGTGTTGTCAAACGTGCCGTTTACCACGACCTTTTTTTTTATATAACGTACAAAAAAACCAAAAGGTATTTATTTTGTCATTGTAACCAAGTTGGTTCATTCGGACTCTTTTGCCAAATGTTTGTTATCCGGAGCTTGTTGTGTTGCGTCCAGACAAGGAGGGTGTATTAAGTGGGAGTCCTCCCAAACAGCCAATCGGTGTCGGGACTTCTGAAAGGGTCGGACTTTTCTTTGCATTTTTTTTTTTAACCCACTGCTACCTGATGCCAATGCAATTGTAAAAAAATGTGCCGAAACTTTATTCGAATAAAAGTGATAACGTCCACTGTCTTGAGTCCGTTGTTTTTTGAAGTGTTATTCCTTTTTTTTTTAAATGTAGCCATTTTGTAACTGTTTTCCATTTCTTTGAAATGGCTGGTGTTGTATACACCTACTTTTTAAAAGATCACATATTGATCGTTGAGCAATAATAAGTGAAAGACTTAATTATTTTTTTTTAGTCTTTTTAGCTGACTTAAGCGTAGGGGGTGAGTTTTAAAAGAAATAGAAAATGCCTGCTTCACGTTGGCAAGTGAGATCTAGTACACACCCTCTTGAACTAGCAGAGGTTCAGTGTTTTATGAATAAGTACGTTATGTGCGAAGGAAAGGCGATTGTAGAATTCGATCAGCTATGTATTAAAAACATTAACAAACTTTTGTCTCTGTAGACTATGGAGACGTACCAAGTGCTTTTTATGATCGATAAAGAGGACATAAAAAAGGGGAAATAGTGAGCAAACGTCTTTTACTGTAATAGGGCATCCTGTTCTGCGGTTATCAAATTAAAAGGCAAGGCATGGCGAAATCAAAAAGCAGTACATGTGAAATATATTATTCACTATCTTCACATTTGAAAAGATTTGAAAATATCCCTCCTAGAAAAGCAGTTTTTAGCTATGAAAGACTTCTGGTAGGCAGAGTTCTTGTCTCTTTTAACACTAGAAGAATGACATGGTTTCCTGCAGTCCTGTAATATACAGTAGACTGCATGAAGAAGGGCTTCTGATAAAGTATCCTTGCTCACAAGGTATTCTTATAGAACACCACCTCTCTCTTTAAGGACTCGACAAGGTCTACAAAGTGCACCACTTAAGAAGGGTCCTGTTGGAAAAATAAACAGATCTGCAGAGTTAGAGGCCTAAGCACTTCCATATCAGCAGTTTACTGTGGTGCCTCTTCCAAGATACAGGGAGGAGGTGTTAAGATTAATTTGGTTTACTTAGTCCCTGCTTGCCTAAATATTTAAGTTTATGATGGGTAGGTTATTGAGTGGTTAAAGAGTAGGTAATTATCCCCTAGTTAATTCATGAAGCTGAAAGTCACTGACGTGAACAATTAAGTCATCCTATTTAATACCCACAATCAGAAAGCCTCTTCATCTGGGGAAAATTCTCCCTCTCCAGAGTACATATTGAGCTAAGCATGTGTTCACATATTAACACATATAAACTCGGGGTGCTTTGCGAGTTTAATACAGAATGGTCACATAAAAGGAGCTATTTTCTTAGAAATGAATGAAAGGCTCTCACGAGGTCTGGGTTATTTTATTAATCCTATAACTACAAATGTCTTCTCTTGCAGATAACCCTGAAAGGGCTACCAATACCATTTATTAAAATTAAATGTATATAAAATTACATTTAGGCTTCCTGCAGTGTTATCGCCCTGTAAGGGATTTGATGAAAATGAAATTAACCATTAACAGTTGGTGCATTACCTAGTAGCAGAATGCTATGACAGTTGTAGCTGTCACAGCAAGATGACTTTTATTACAAGGCCCACCATATTTTAAAGCAGAATCACAGAGCATTCATTTCAGTTTCTTCCAGTTCAGGGTTGTGGGGGAGCCAGAGTCCATCCCAGCAAGTAATGGGTGTAAGACAGGGTACAGACTGGATGGGACACAGTCCATCACAGAGCAGGCAGAGACACAAACACACCAGAAGCTAACTAACCTACCAGTAAGGACTGTGGGAAGACACCAAAGCACCTTGAGGAAAATCACACAAACACAGGGAGAACATACAAACTCCACACAGACAGCACCCCAGGAATTGAACCCAGGGGCCCAGTGCTGCAAGGCAGTAATGCAAACCACTGTGCCACCTTGTCACCCTACACAAGTCATCCGTATTTTTCATTGACAAAGCAATGAATGGATCCAAAACCAACAAATATCAACGATTGTTTAAATTCACGTTTATGCAAAATATGCGCAAAATATATGTTCGTGTTTTAGGTTTCCAGAGTATAGACCCACTTCTACCCTTGTGTCTGCTGGGTTTGTCTCTGACTCACTGCGACTTGCTAAGGATAAATGGGTTACAGAAAATGGATGGATGGCTGAGATTAAATGGGCATGATTACATTTTGGTAATGCTGAGTTCTGAAAAAACCTGATACCATACAATAACTATAATTGCAAATTCATAATTATGATAAACACCCCCAATTGTTGTTACAACATATAATTTTATCGGAAATTATAATTGGACTAAAGTAATGTTTTATCATAAAACACTGTTACATGCTCGGTATTTTAAAGGGTGGATTACACATTTGGAGCCAACAATGCAAATCTAGTATAATGATGTTGGATTCGAGCATTGGCGTAATTCTTACAGTGCCAGTAGATGAAATTCTGGCGCCAGTAAATAGACATGGCTCTTTTTTCCTTCAGAAGCCACAAATGGACAATTTTTTTTCCTTTGTACTGTATACACATGCTTTCAGTCCAACACAAAAACTCTGGATGATTTCTGTGAAAAATCCTTAAAATCTAAATATTGAAGATGCATTTTCACTAAACGACTTTACAATACATAAGCAAGAATATCAATTTTAGCAACACCCTAATACTCGCAGTAAAAAGAAAAAAAGAAACATATAGGTTTAATCTTTGCATTCATAATATTAGTATCATGCAATCATATTTTGTGGCTATTATATTAATGTTCTAGATCACACTGTGACTTACAACATTAAAAGACATTAAAAAAATACTGGTGGTGAAATCTCCCTTAATTCTCAAACTAATTGTATTGTTCTAGAAACTCAGGCTTTGATTGGACATATGTGATCATAAATCTGACATTTCACAAAATTAAGCAGCACAATTTGCCAAACTTTCTTTCTGAATTCTATGTGTTATGTGCGGAACAAGCTGCCAAGCTAAGCCCTGGAAGTTAATTCCTTGGCAACCTTCAAGACAAGAACGAGTCACTCAGATCAATAAACTTCTCGTAACCAAAAATGCATGAAGGTTCAAATAGCCAGTTTTTAACAAATCACCTGCAACCTTCTTATATTACTGCCCATCAGGAATGCTTCACCTTGAAAACTGCTAATGTAAAATATTTGGAAATGCGCAGGTACAGTATGGACTGTGTACTATGCTTGATGGAGTTAATGTGTGCCACTTGCTGTGCTGTTTTTGCAGAAAATAAAAGAAGTGCAAATTTGTTGACTAAACATGTTTTTATTTAAAACTGTATTAAATATTCTTCCATAGCTTTTGATTCAGAACTCTCAGTTCCACCAGCGATGTAGGTTTGAGAATCATTGAATGAACTACAACACCTCCTGTACGTGCAGTGAAAGAGGCCATTTGTAAACCAGTGGGGAGCCTTCTCTGCTGCAGTAGGTATCGAGGTATTTGCTTAGTGTCTATCGAGAACTTTTCGCATTAGCGTAGGATCAGTGTATGCCAGAGTGATGTGTTCTGACAAAACATTTCTGCGTGGGTGGTGAGTTTTTCACGTTGCATTTGGGCCAACCTGTTATTCAATCGTTGCGGTTTGCTCTGGTTCACAATTTCGTCAATTTTAAAGTCTTTGGCTCGAGCGCTAGTGGCTCTGAATCTGTGAATGCAAACAGTGCTCTGAAAGACTCATTGTGTGAAGCTTGCATATCTGGGGGAAAGGAGTGGGCTCCAGGGTGCTTCCTAGATGGTTTCCCTGAAGTGAGAGGTACAATTAGTCTGTCCCCGTGTATCTGAACATTGAATTCGTCTGAAACAGACTATGAAGGCGTATTAAACAGACTATGTGAACAATGCCTTAAGAGGTGGTTGCACATGACAGGACTTGTTCACCGATGCAATACCAATCCCAAAATGATGAAAATGTTCTAGCCACAGCAGAGGTTGTCATATGAGCCTTTGCACGTTCTTTTTTGGTTAAGTATCTGGCTGTAACGATCATCTTCAGAAATGTTTTTTAATTACATTTTAGTTCTTCTGAAAGACCTAAATAGAAGACTAACTGTGCGCGCAGTGCTTTGGCACGAAGACCATTACGTCTACATTAAGGACATATTAGCATGGCAACCCAAGCACATCACACGCAGAATTACATTATTGTTAATGATATACAGTATGACAGCTTTGTGTGCTCTGTATGACTTATAAAATTGATTTCTTTTTTTAAGTGAATTGGTGTGTTCATCTGATAAAGTTCAAGGTAAGCCTTTAAGACCCGTCACTTATAGACACTACCGTGATATCTTAAACAACCAAGTAGTCGACTGACATATTATGAAAGAGGAAAGAAGGAGCCTATCCCAGCAAGCCACAGGCACAGGGCAGCATGGGCATACAAACACACTCACATGTAGCACCACTTTTCCCAGAAGCCTGAGAATTAACCTAGCAGTGTGTTTTCAGACAGTGGGAAGAAACCCATGCAAACACAGGGAGAATATACAAACCCCCAGGTAGCAGCTCAGGTCTGAAACTGAACCCAGGTCCCAGTGCTGCAAGGCAGCAGTGCTAACCACTGTGCTTCATTGGATCCCACAATACTCCACAACACAACAATTTTTTTTTTAAATGCTGTTACATCCAGAATCTACAGTAAAAATGTATACATACACCCTGCTGTATCCGCCTGTAGAAATACATGTGGATTGAAGATTATAATAATTACCTTAAATGCATCCTGTACATAACATGATACAAGCCTGTAATGTTGTCTTTTAGAGTATCTGGTAAGGTCGTGTATCAGGTCAGTTCCTTTTCTGTTGTTTGAAAAATAATCAATTGCTAACTTACTGAGAAAAACATTACTGAGAAAAAGCACTTCCTGTATTTGTGCAGATTCTGTGTTGCCGAGGAGACAAGGAGACGATACCCTCGAAGTAAAGGCAGGCGATCTCTGTCACCACTGAAGAAAAATGAATGAGCCAGATCATGATCTACCTAACACATTAAAAGTTAACAGATAAGCTTCTGTTGCCAATATCATACAAGCCTTTTTGTTTATACTGTATGATGCTGTCTTGGCTG